TAGTAGCAGTAGTAATGATTTGCAACAAGCACACAAATCACACCCAGATGCATATCACACAAGTAGAATATTAGATGAAGAGATTGCTAAATCTAAAAGTTATACAAGTAATAGTTCGTTAAATAATCTTGATTGTAACTCTTTTCTTTAAAATGTTAAAGGTAAATAAAATTTTATTATTAATTAATTGGAAATTACTATCCATTAATTATTATTAATTAATACATTAAATTCTAGTAAAAGAAAAGATGTGATGAAAGACTAATTTAATCTTCTTTTTATTTATCTTTTTATTCCATCCTTATTTTATTTCTTATCTTGTAACCAATATTTTGAAATAATAAACTTTTTACGATTTTCTGATTCTTGTTAAATGGTGATATTGCAAGGTATCATTTCGGAGCACACTTGATTGTACCAGATGGCTCTTTTGAATGCTATAAGGTTCCTTTTATTCACTTATGATCGATCTGTTTCAGTTGTCTTGCTCTTGTTTACATTTATTGACCGATTTCAACTCTACTTGAAAAACAACCTAAGTAGCCTGTTTAATAAATAGCCTTATGTTTATGACTACAATAATATTACTTCATCAATACCTACTATTTAACCAATGTTAGTCCAAACCTTTGCTTACTCACTAAAGCAAATTACTTTATTAATTATTGTTAGCACTCACTAGTTAACCGACATTAGTCCTAACCTTGCTTGCTTGCTCACTAAAGCAAATAAACGTGGCTTTTCACCAGAGTTCCACGATTGTTACTTTTTACCAAGGCACCAACTACACTTGCTACTTTTATCAAGGTGCTTTAAATAAAGACAATGTTTTTATTTATGTTTTCATTTTTAAAAGTTTATTAAATAATGATTATCAGAGTTTATTTTATTAGAATGTTAATTATCTATTATTTTTTTTCTGAGAGAACCAGAAGCTATCCTTAATGAAATTTTCATTGATCACTACAATAAGGATAAAGATAAAGATGGGTCTATTATTGCAAAGTAATTTGATCAATCTTCATGATCAATGATGCAATTTTTATAAAATAGACTATTTCATGCATTGATTGATTGATTAGTCTAATAAATTACCACAAACATATAAATAGACCCGCTACCCCTAAAAAAAATGCAAAAAAGGGTGTATTGATTTTACTTTTTTACGTTGCATTCGAATTTGAGGGTCGAGGTATGTAGTGCTAAAATGGTCTTCTATATATGATTCAGCTTTGCACGTTACATTCAAATGTGAAGTGTCTATATATTCGTTCGGAGCATCAAATATTAGCTAGTCATATTTTTATTCGGTGTGTTGAGCAAAAATTTATTAACTTTTTTTTTCTTAATTAAAAAAAATCCTTTGCAAAGATTAACATTAATCAATGTTTTCTCCGAAAGGAAATTAAAAATAAAATTTTTCCTATCCAGATAACTCACTATCTTTCAAATGGCCAAAATCAAAAAAATTTTTACATATTGTTTATCGATCATTGAATTGACCGATAATAATAATAACAACAAAATAAAATGTAAAAGTGTTTTTGAATCCAGGTCTCGTGACCCGAAAATATACGTTCTTTGATCTCAGGTAAAGGCTCCAAGGCAAAGCCATAAGTTTTTGGTCATTTCAAACGGCCCTAAACTTCAGAGTAAGACGAAGACTAATGGTAGACACTATGAAAAAAACATCTAAAGCAAAACACGATTTCCTTTCAGTCAAGTATCTGCCTGAAGTTTTGAACAAAATAACCACCACCATTTTTGGAAAATGAAATATTTTTATTTCAAATCAATTTGCAAATCACTTCAAGCCAGCGCGTTGATTTCGATCTCATCCTTCCCAACAATTCGGTTGAGCAACAAAATGTTTAGAAGATTCGTGATTCGTTATCGTAACTGCACCGGATTTACCGTCTCAAGTCTTTGATGAGTCTTCTTAGGGAAAAATCATTTAACTTCGCCAAAGATTTTTCTTGTAATAATACATGTCAAATCATTCATTGGTTAAAATAACAATCTTATTTGAATGGAAGCTTGCAAAACCATAAATAACAAACCACACCAACCAGTGACAAAGTCATAGTTATAAATCATATATTCTAGATTTTAATGATAAATCAGTAATTGATGATAGGATAAAATAAAAATTTTTCAAAAAAATCTTCCCGATTCATTAATATAAACGATTGAAGATTAAACAAAATCTTCATAAAAAACAATTATTTTTTTCCGTGATAAAATTTTCATACTTAAAAAAATCATTAACGCCTTTGTCATTGGCAACAAATATCTATTTGAGGAGGTGGTAAATGGTCAATTCTTGATAGGAGATGGTAAAGGTGTAATTAGGTTGAATGAAAATGACACTAAGGGATAAAAATAAAAAACTATCCTATCGACTTCTATGAATGTCACCTACCAAGAAATATAGCCCTGGTCAGGAATACGTTGCTTTAAGTCCTCATATAAATTCGCAAATGCATTCATCGACGACCAATCAATGGTAAAGGAGCGTGATGTCTAAAACAAAAGATCCTTACCAATGTAAAAACATATATATACACATGCATGTATCAGTCAAATAAAATAATAAAGATTCATCATGTTGCGTAAATTAAATCGACAAATCAAAAACACCAATGTATTTTATACAAATATATAGATGACGGAGTTCACACGCTCTAGTTATATATTTTATATACTACAAGTTTTACTAATATGTTTTAATGGAGAATCCTTTTTTATTATAATTAATGAAGTTTCTAAATCATTATTGGGATTAAAAGCGTTTAGAATATACATCATCACGTTGACAATTATTTTTAGTTATAAATATGCAGCCTGAATTGTTTTATTCAATGTCATAGATTTAAAAATAACAACTAATTTAGCTATCAAACAAAACATATCTTGCATATTAAATATTAATAAAAGTAATAAAAATTTTTATTTTTATTTTTATTTTTTACCATTTACTTGAAAAACTTCTAATTCATCAAATATACTTTCATTTTTTATATTGATGTTATTATAGGTGTTTACATTAACGCGGATTTTACCATCTTTATTAAATATCAGATCTTTACCAGCACCAAATCCAGGTAAATCGGAAGGCTTACAATAAATTGCTTGTTTTTTATCCTTAACAACATAACTATGCAGTGCGCTATTAATATCATTTCTATTAATATTAAATATAAAGCTTTCATTTGTTTCTTTGTGTTGATCTCCACCCCAATTAAGTGGATTATAGCCACCGATTAATTGTTCTGAATTTTGTATCTTAGCAACCACAAGAGTTTTGTTGTTATTGCCACATTTTTCATGGAATTTCTTCTCATCTAAGCCATCTCTACTGCTACAATATAAAAGCTTAAATTCATATTTTACGTCTTCGACTGATTGATATGTTGGACTTTTCCTATCAATCCAGCTTGCAAAAGGCAGTGTATGCCTTCGATCAATCGTATGTGAGCCAGCAATATCTGGCTTTCTCGATGGCAGTGAAGATGAATTTAAGATCGGTTTTTCGTCATAAAGCACATAATCGTGCAAAATATTTTTCCACACAGCTTTTGGAAATAGGTCTTGATATGGCTCTATTTTGTTATAAAAATCTTTTCTAGAAATATCTTTGAATCTAATTAAGCTAATAAAATCTTTTAATGTTTTTCCTAGCTTATCGAAATCCTGCAAACCCCAATGTTCATTTCCACTAATTTCTGGATGTTTTGCTAATCCCCATTTAAGAAGGTTTTCCCATACTTCAATTTCGTTAACGATAAAATCGTTTTTTTTAAGAATTTCTAACAAAATTGGTTTTTCTAATAATTTAAATTCATCCGAATTAAATAATTTTCCACTGTCAACACATATTTTCTGTAGGCAAACAGTTTTTAAATCGCAAAATTTTTTATTCGTGTAAATTCTACGTAGAATTTTAATTTGATTTTCATTTATAAAATTTTGATGCTTTTCAATAAAGTAATCCATTGTGTATTTATAAAATGACTCAAGACCAAGTTCATCAATTACAATCAATAAGTTGAATATGTCTTCTCCGGTGCAACCATCTAGTTCGATTTTGCAAGCATACAGGAATCTATTATGATATATACACAAGTATTGATATTATTAAAAATGATTTAAAATGGTTTAATAAATAATTTGTTAAACTTACTCGAGAATTTTTTTAAGCACAAACTCATTAAAATTTGATTTTTCAATAATATAGTAATTTTTTTCTTTCGTGGCATTTGCCAAGACATCGTTAAAAAATGGGCATTGAGTGAGCAAAATTGAGGAGTGAGCGTGAATTTCTTTGACGTCTGTTTTTTCCCCAACACGAATCTTTACGTCATAGTTCTCTTCTGATTCCAATAATTTTTCCATATTATGAAAGTGTTCTGCTGCTAAGGTTTTATATTCCATTATTCTTTTAAAAAATGTTCTTACGAAAAGGATAGCAGTAACCACGAAGAAGATATGTATTATTTATATATCTAAATAAATTTGATTATAAATCAGGAAATATTTTAGTTGCGGACTTAAGCCTACTATTACATAATTTTTGCATAATTTTTGGATAATACTTGCTATTTTATTATTATTGCCTAAATATCGATTTACTACGAATAGCTGGATCATTTAAACAATTTGTCAGATATGCATATTGCAGATCGATAGGTTGTGGCAGGTATCTTATTATTATCGGTTTCTTCCTGCCATTGTCATTGCGTAAAATAATTGTGACAATCTATATATGTGCTCAAAATTAGATTACTTAATGTTGCTTTATTTTAAACTAAGGAACGGCTGTACGGAGGGTTGATGGTAATGTAGTTGTTTTGGATTCGTCTTTCCTTGAATATGTTGATCAAATTGGTTGTTGTTGGGTGATAGATATTCTCTATGTGATTTTAAAAAATTCCTTTTTTTTCGAGATTTAAATATCACTAGTGGTAAAAGCCTGAAGTAAAGGTTTGGCCAAAGAATTCTTAGTTTGATCTATTACCATCACTGTCTGTCGATTGCTTGAACTTCAATGTTTTCATAGTGTTCATGACAGGAAACAAATCAAGGAATATTAAAGCTCTTAAATTTACAGATTTATTACCTGGTTTAATTAAAAATAGTTCAAGTTCTATTAAAAATAATAAACAAATGAATTTCATAGTAAACTTTGTTTAAACTAATTGTAGTTTCAAATAAAATCTTGACACTTGAAATTATTATAGCAGATACTTGTTATCTTTTGAAATACACTCTTCAACAAGATATAACATATCATGCATTTCAATACATGCTTTAAATTTATCATCAACAATTTTATATTTTGCTTGCTCTATAATTAAAATTTCTGTATCCCTTGTTAGATAGTTGATTTTGATGTATTAATAATGCTTTTAAAGCATCGGAATTTTGAGACTTAAGGTCATTTTTCCTTTGGAATGAAGCTTTACAATAGCAAAATCTACCTTTGACAATGAACATTATATATCCTAGAATCATAGAAAAGATCATTTACTAGATCAAAATAAATTTGTCTGTTTAGATGACCTTCACTCAGATCGATTTGATAAAAGTTTTGATTTGAACTAAACAATCTTGTCCTAAAAAAATAACATCCTTTACTTGCCAGTTAAGTTACCAACAACAACTCATGAAAATGATAAATAAACTTACAATTTTTCTGTAAATGCTCTTAATGCAAATTGTATTGAATCTACTAAATCATTGCTGTAAATACGATCATTTGCATAAAACTTTTTTAATATTTGTTCACTTTCAGGAAATGATTTTAATTTGGAAATGATTTTAATCCTTTTGATTATTCTTTCATCAATTTCAGATGATGTAATAAGATTATTGAGATTATTTCGATATTTGTTTAAAAGAGACAACTTATTATATGCTGACAAATCAAGGTCAATAATACCAATTCTTATTAATTCACTATACGAAATTGAAATATATATGGCTTAATAATGTTGAATAATTTAATTCCTTATATCTAAATTATATTTTGCTTACTCTCTTGAGGCTTTGGAGTATACTTGAAATAACAGATCATCACCAATATTCTCATTCTTTATAACAAAATAATTATTATATTAAGATATAAGATATAAATTAATGTATGTGGAAATTATATAATCACGCTTACATTTGAAAAGAAGGGATTCAATGGTAATAATTAGTTATAATTGAAATGGAATGATTTTCCTGTGAATTGGAAAAAGTACTAGTTAACTAAAAATAAAACAGTTAATTTTACACTTTATAATTTATTATTGTTTACTCTGTTTTCCTGTTCTAATAAAGGTAATGCATTGGTGATAGAAGTAGTTATAGCTATCTAATTAGATATAAAAAGGCATTAAACGGTTAAAGAGTAGTAGATAAATTACAATTAGAATTAAAATGATTTTTTCTATATGGTAGTTTTATAAAAAAAACTTGAAATTTTTTTTCTTTTTTTAATATTAATTATGCTGAACAAAAAAAACATGATCACAGTTCAGCAAACAAGTGTTTATTAAAAGAATGATGGTAGTTTACAATCACCACCACTCGTCACTCCAGTTAATTCAAATTATTCGTTTTATAAAATATAGTAATAGTAATAGGTCTTATTTCTATATAAATTACAATAATTTTATTTATAATTTATATTACTACTATGCTAGTACTATTACTTAAGAAAAGTGTCAGCTACTACTATTTATTATTAATATCACTATTCTTATATACAAGGACTGGGGAAAACAAAGAAAAAAAATCAAATTAGCAATATTAATATGCATATCTTATTTTATTCCGAATAAACTTTCAATGTAATTCGAATACTCAAACTCATAACGGATAAAACGAATAATTTGAATAGAAACCCTACTTGATGGACCCTCCAAAATATTCGCGTTAACATGCATGAATTTTTCAATTATATTCACCTTTTTGTATTTGCTTTAGTTAACTAATTTTAATATTTCAATGATTGGTGGTTGGAAATTAAATTGATTATTAATCGTTTCAAAGCTAGAACAACTTCAAATTTTCCCGATTCTGGAATTTCCGGAATTTTCAATTTTATTATTATTCAAAATGTTAAAATTACAAATCATCATTTAACTGAATTTTAATACAATGGTTTTCCAAAATATAATGATTATTAATTAGTTTGAAGAGTAATTATAACTAAATAATATAAATTTATAAAATAAAAATAATAATAATAAATCTAATAATTATTTTAATTTCATTCAACAATTGATCATTATTATGATTTTCCATTTCCTTGAGGGTCATATTTTTATATTATTTACAGAAATCTTTTTTTATTTTCTTCAGATTTGTTAAATCTTATGCACTTTTTTCTCCTTCGGGTCATAATTTTCTTTTTTTTTTGGCTTCGATTGAATCAAAATCATTTTCTGTTTTTTTTTAGACGCTTCAACAAGTTGTCCTATCAGGAATATGTGTGAGATATTCTGCATCCTCATTGCTATCATCTACTTTAATTTTTTTATGAATATCATCAATTGGTGCTAACGAAAAAAATTTTTAAAAGAAATTTATCAAAATTATTTTAACTATTATTATACAGCATTTATAGTATATCTTTTCCAACAATGTTGATTAGAAAGTAAATGAGTAATTCACTTTCTATGACAATTTTTGCTTTTTGAGCCAAAAATGCTTCATTCATATTATAATGTTCAATTTCATTGCTAAGCAAACTAGTGAATAGATTCATTAAGTAAACCACCACTATGAATCAAATACAATCACTAATACTACAAGATAGCAAAATCCAAGCTCCAAATGCTCCATTATCACCTAATAAAAAATCTATCAAATCAATTACCTGCAAGGATGCCAGAATTGAAGAAAATTGTGAAACTTACATCAGATTGTTGTATCTTAATTATATGAATTTCTGTTGGAAAAATATGTATAATATTATTAACATGGTTATATGAGATAAGGTCAAACCTAGTGTTCCATGAACATTCAATGAAAAGATGTTTTGGGGCAGAATTGTTTTGTTTGACAATGACTATAATGGTGACGATAACCAGGTACGTAAATTCTAACTCCAAGGCCTCCAAATGCAAAAAATCATTTCCACCTAGTACCAATTGAAATTGCAATTCTTTTTATATTATCCTTGATGTATTGGAATCTAATAAATAAACGATTTATATAAATATACAGTACAGTTTATATGCCAATTTAAAAAAAATTTTTCGATGCCAATATATTCATTTCAATATTTTTTGTATCGGTGACTCCGTTGTAGGTTCGTTTTCATCAAACCAATGCTCTCATATCCCAATTTATTATTCTTTTGTGAGTACTGTTAACGTACTTGCCAGTACATACAAACAGAGGGAAGGTTTGTGGTAATTGTTCATGGCCACCAGCATAACCGCTACTATTATCATTAACACTGTTAATGTAGTTGCTGCTGCTATTGTTGTTGTCGTCATCATCATCATTATTAACAAAAAAAAACCTTGGTCGATTGTAATAATGTTAGCTAGAAATCAAATGTGAAACTTCGTATTCATCAACTTTGGTCCTGTTCCTTTAAAAAGTTACTTGTTTCAACTAATTATTTGATGTAAGTAAACGAAACCAGTAAAATAATATAAATATTATATACTAATGTTAGTATTAGATTGAATTAAAATTTACACATGGGATGTTCACCAGCAAAAAAAGGGATCCGAGAACTTCCAACCAAAATTGAGTTTTATAAAAGTTATTACTGCATATAAAAAAAATCGTGACACGACAGTTTCAGGGTTACTTGTGACGAAAACACCTACCTCAGTTACACGACAAGGTTTTTTTAAGATAAGATTTCCTTATTTTCTACCAATCATGGGGGAGAGTATTCCCTTGAGGCTTGATATCTCCATGATAACATGACATGTCAACGTAACTAGAAAGGTCTTAGCACTCGAACGATTCGTCACGCAAAACGATTTTCCTTTTTTTGCTCACCAAATTTGACAGATTTTTCAGGACTCATTCATCCCTTCTTCTAGATTAATAAAATAGAGAAAAAATCTTTAAATCACCGTATTTGGAAATAATTATCCCTTGCTTGGTCATTACGCCTGATGATCTCCTGTCCTTTCGTGTATATATATTGACAAATTTAATATTATACACAAAGACCTATTAATTTAACAATAATAGAACAATTTTTTAATCACGTTACTTATGCCAGGTGGTTTCTATTTATATCATGCACACGGTTACACTAGCTTTATCCAAATTTATCTTCCAGTTACTTGACTTCTATAAAATATTTATAAACAGTAAATGTAAATTTTTTAATTGATCGACTTATTAGGAATTTTTAAATAATTAGTTATTTTTTTTTTTGGTGGGAATGCAATAAGAGCTTGGGACTTTTAATTGCTACCAACCTTTTTAATTTTATTTTTTTTTTATTTTTTTTTTTTCAAACATTGGATAGGCTTTGATAGATTCATCCATTAACTTGCTATAAGAAAATAATAATAAAATAAATAATATTAAAGTAACTCAAGATGACTTCAGTAATTAATCCTAATCCTAATATTGAAACTAATGATTTTGAAGCAGACAACTTAATTGATACTCAACAAGAGAAAGTAACAAACATTAGTCTTGAATATAAATACAATAGTGACAAAAATAACTTAAAAGAAAAAAATGTAAGTAATATTGAAAAAAAAGAAATAATTATAGAAGATTCTTTTAATGAAAATATAAATAAATACAATCTGGACATAAATCATAGAGATAACGATTACAGGAACAATGATAAAGGTGATTTAAAAGTAGAAAATGTAAAGAATGTTGCTGAAATAATTAAAGATGATGATGGCACACTTGGTGAGAATAATAATGATTATTATGATGATTATTTAAAGGGAGAAATAATTAACAGTGGTATAGTTAATGAAAACAATTACAATAATAACTATAATATTGAAAACAATGAAAAAGATGAATGTGATATAATAACAGAAAAGAGAGAAGTGGTAGATAATTTAAAGTATGTTGAAAAAGTAGATACCAAAGAATCATCAACACCATCATTAAAACAGAATGTTGGAAAATTCAGCAAATTATTTCAAAAAACCATTCAAATCACTCAAAATTCACAAGTTGATGCTTATGATGGGCAAAAATCACCTACTAGCATTTCTTCATATAGTTCATCAGATGACAAGATAGATTTTGAATCAAGAACTTCAAAATCTAGTTTTTCATCCATTTCAATCAATCAACTAACGGATATATCCACGGATAATGATGTTGATTCTTTTGTACACATCGAAGCTGGCACAATTAAACAAATGATGGCTGCATCTCTTGCTGAAAATCCAGAGTTAAATGATATATCTTTGGATGATGAAAATTATACTCAAGAGTCATCTAAAGAATGGGGCTCGCAGGAGTGGAATTTTCCCAAGGCTCACAATTCATTAAAAAATTTTTCATCACTATTTAGCACAATATCAAATGCTTCCTCCACAATAACTTCTCCAATTGCCGATTCTCATCATAGGTTAAGTATGTCCCCAACATCTAATTATGATTTGTCGTATGAAAGAGAAGATCAGGCATCGCAGGAAATTTCTAAAGCCAAACGAGCCTCATTACAAAGAATTGCAGAATTAAGACATAGTTTTGAAAGAGCACAAAATGAAGCTAATGTAAATGTACAAGATGATGATGATATTGATTGGGGTAATTATAAAGGCATATGTGTGCATGTCTGTGCACTAATTTTTATTGTTTATTTATATTTATATTTATATTTATATTTATATATAAAGAATTCTGGGGACAAATTATATCTGATTATGAAAATGTTTCAAGAACGCAATCACAACAATTATCCAAAGCAATCCAAAAAGGAATTCCACGAGCATTACGGGGTATGATATGGCAATTAATGTCCAAGTCTAAAGATGTTGAATTGGAATCCAAATACGCTCAATTGCTCAAACAATCAAGCCCCCATGAAAAAATGATCATAAAAGATTTAAACAGAACCTTTCCAAAACATGAGTTTTTTCAGGATAAGGATGGAGCAGGTCAAGAAGGTTTATTCAATATTGTTAAAGCATATTCAATTTACGATCCTGAAGTTGGATATTGTCAAGACATTTCATTTGTTGTTGGACCTTTGCTGTTAAATGTATTTGCACTTTTAATTTTAAATTCCAATTTTATTAATTTAGAAATGAATGTACGAAATATTAATTTGTTGTAAATAATTAGATGCCAGATGAAGAAGCATTTTGTGTTCTTGTTAAATTAATGAAGCATTACAATATGCGGTGTCACTTTTTACCAGGAATGGATGGGCTTCAACTTCGTCTTTTCCAGTTTGATCAACTGGTTGAAGAAATGCTTCCTAAAATTCATAGTCATCTTTTGGCGCAAGGAATAAACTCATCAACGTATGCATCACAATGGTTTACGACGCTCTTTGCATACAAATTTCCATTATCATTGGTGTTTCGAATATATGATACAATTTTCACAGAGGGAATCGAAGCTATTTTCCGATTCAGTATTGCGTTATTGAAAAGAAATGAAAAAAAAATTGTTGAATTGAATTTTGAACCTCTTTTAGAATTTTTGAAAAATGGATTATTTGAAAGTTATCAGGTTTATATGCAATCTTTTATGATAATATTAATCATAATAACATTCATTATATTCATTATATTATATTTTGTAGTTTACTCCTACCGGTGTATTGGTACAATTGATAACTGAAACACAATACAAAACTAATGAATTTGTTAAAGATGCATATGATATTCAAATCACAGCCGAGACACTTAATAAACATCTACAAGCACATTATGCACATCAAGAAAATGAGAGAAGAAGATTAATAATAGAGGCAGGAACTGCTGATAAAATGCGAGCTAACAATATTCATTTATCCAACAAAGTCAAAAATCTTGAAAACAGTTTACAAACACTTGATCGTGAACATGTTGAATTAGCCAACGATTTTATCAGTACTAAGATGGAACTTGCACAATGCAGAGATGAAAACGACAATCTTTCCCACCTGATCAAAGACCTACGTAGAGGATTGGTGGATCAACCTAAAGAGATTGAAAATAAATTACAAAATCAAATGGATGGTTTAGTTAAAAATAATTTTGTTTTGATAGAAAAGAATAATTCATTGAAAGATCAACTTGAAAATTTAGAAAACATGTTAACAGAGATTAAGGTGAGGTATGCAGAGAGTGAAAATGAAAGAGAAACATTGAAACAAAAATGGAATGATTTGAAAAAAGCCTTGGGATAAAGATAATAACATTTTGTCTTTGTAATTATTAAGTTTAGAATAATATATATTTAAAAAAAAATTTACTCGATAATATAATGACAAACTGTTGTATATAATTGCCTTTTTCTTTATTTTTATTTTATATTATTATATTTTTGTACTTTTAAATAAATATCTCCTAAATAAAATTCATATATTTAAACGATTGGTTCTTCCGTCTTGTACAAAGCTAGGTGTTGAAGATTTATTATATTATAAATTTCAAATTATTATTTATAATCACATAAAAAATCAATATAATTAAGGCAAATTAGAAGAATCATTATCTTCCAAAATAATTAAAATAAGTTTGTTGTTTTTTATTATTATTTATTTATTTTTATTTTGATTAATTATTATCATGTTGTTATGATTTTGAGGGTTATTAAAAAAAGAATAGAAAAAAGGGATCAAACATTACAACAACACTCCTATCTTTTAACACCAAAAAAGTGATAATCAACAGACCCTATTGCAGACAAACGGCATTGAGACCCCATGTTGTATAATGCGTGTTAGGCATTGCACGATACAATCATATATTTACAGTATACAGTATATTAATAACTTTATTAATGCGAAAAATAATTTAATTAGCACTTTGCATGATAAAAGGTATCAAGCAAGGTATTACATTATTTTTTAAAAATGACCATCATATACATATGCGCTGATTTTGTTTGAACCCCAAAATTCAGTACGGTATGATCGTAACGTTATGAATAGCAAAAACACATTGGTTTTGAGGTTGGCCATTGGTTTGACAGGCCGTTGAATAGTAAAATAGTTTTTTTAGTGGAGCAAATAAATTTTTTTAGGATTAATTATCATTCTACCGACCAATTTACACATTAAAAATACTCGTCGAGACACAATAAGATATAAGGTTTGAAAAAAAGGTCCAAAACCAAATCGGCTGATATGATATAACTAATTAACGATAATAATAATAACAGTAATATTAATAATATTATCATTTAATTATTATTTACGATGTGATTGTATAAGACCCTTTTCGAGACCCCTGAACTTCGTAATCATGCAAGCAATTAATATGGACAAGGAAGAAATTGATCATTATTGTTGTACGGATCAAGCAAGGTGTTTGTTTCGGAAAGTAGATTTTCTATTCTAATTCGTAATGCAACCTCTGTTTTCGTTTTATTCACCTTGTTCGCTTTATTCGTTTATCCGTTATAAACATTCAATGTAATACTCATTCATAATGAATAAACGAAAAATTCGAATAAAAACCCTAATGGAAAGGAATATTTACCAAAATAATTGATTTAAAAACTGTCAACTATCTTACTAATGATACACTATTTTTTAGGTATTAATATTTAATGTAGGTCAATGTAGAAGTAAATTAATTATTCCGCATTTAAAATACAATGATATGATTTCCGTTGTCCTTTAGTAAACTTGGTTAATATTATTAATGAACTTATTCCATTACCGAATTAATTCATTATAAATAAATGTAATGAATATTATGTAATTACTTTATGTTTCAGAATATTTATTGTTATTATTTAACGTGCATATCAACATAAATTACACATTTATCAAAATTTTCCGATGTAGGACACATGCACAAAAAAAAATTGTTGCAACGAACCAAACGAAATGCTTGGTTGCATTAGATTGTTTATGGACTGGATGGAATGCGTGGGCTTGATTTAATTAAAATTGTAGGAGTTGTTGGATAAATTCCGTGGAATTATCTTGGAACCTTTACTACTTGCAAATAATAATAATTGCGACGCGCGTTATTGGATATTGAGATATGATTGAAATAAATCTTAATCCGTGTAAAAACCAGTTCTTGAAATCCCATTTATCAGGGTACTTTTGCATTAATAATATTAATATCAGCCGATAAAAATACTAGATGTTGAAATGGTTCAACTATAATTCAACTTTTAACGGCATAGGTCAGAAGACCTATTAATAAAAATTCATGTGATTATTTTTATTTTTATCATTACTCTGAAAGGATCCTCAAACTGACTCAGAGATAATATATATTTTAAATGCGATTCTAACTTTATCGCAACGTTTTTCATAATAACAAAAATCTTTGTAATGATGGTGGCAATTGTTTTGTTCCTCCATGTATACATAAAGTATTAAAAAGAAAGTTATAATAATAATGCAATTAATTGTCCTGTTTCATTCTTTTCATTTTAAAATTTCAAGACGTAATTAATTGAATAACCAGTTATATAAATTATTTTAAAACTTTATTATTAAACGTATGCATCGTATTTTGTGACACCATTCATTCATTCGAGCGTAAAAATGATTTTGTAAAAAAAAAAAAAACCTACTAACCGAAAAATAAATTAATAGTTTCATTGGAAAGTGAAAACGAAGATTTGGGTGTTTTGGTATTTGTATTAGTATCGTCCGATTTGGATGTCTAGGTTGATCCCGAATTGTTGTTGATAAAGATGGTGGTAATGATTTAAAATGTTTGCAATATAAACAGTAAGTAATTTGATTGCTTGAGCATCTTGGGTCAAATCTTTATATACATCCTATTCTATCATTAGATATTAGATAACTAAAGTATATTACCAACACCACCCACTGCTTCCATATACCTTCGGCTCTTTTTCCTTCCTTGCATAACCTAACTTCGGCTTCTTTTTGTACTGTATAAAATTTTGATTTAGCCATAGATTTTGAAGCTATATTTATAGAAAAAACGGCACCAACTTCAACAATTATGCGCTCATTTCTATAAGAACTGCACACGCTTCAATTCTTTGGGAATCCGTCATCATCAAGAATTAATATTATTATAATATACAATTTTAATTCATATACACAGACAGACTCGATAAGTCAGCCGCATAATTTATACTATTGAGTACTTTAAACAATTGATTACTGCGGGCTGACTTATCGAGTCTGTCTGTGTATTAACAGCTAACCAACCCCCTTTGTTGTTGTTTATCACAATATTTTGTTTTTGATTTATAAAAAAATTTTTTTTTATATGGGAGTTGATGAACCTATTAAATTAGCAAATGATTCACACAAAAATATATTTTTAATGGTTTTTTACTATTTTTATTTATTTTTATTTTGAAATCGACTTTTTATTTTCCAAAAACAAACTTATCAATTTATCCGTAGGGGGTCATTTGAGATATCATTTTATATTTCCAAAAAAAAACCTCTCAAAGAAAAATTATACATATATATTGTACATATGTAGAGTTTGTCAAAAAAAATAACTTGAAACATTATTCTTATTTTCAAATTTTATATTCAAATTTTCAAAATTCCAGAATTTTGATTTAAATCTTTGTAAGATTGATTTCGTGACGATAAAGACATACAATAGAAATCAGAAAACACGTTTAGGATGTCAGGACATTCTTTACTCATTAAAGATCCCACTAAACTGGAAAAATTACTTGATTTTGCACAGAAAGGTATATTATGAATAATATTAGTAATTATATATAGACTTGATTTCATCAATTATTATATGATTTAATGATAAAATATTAGTAAATATATAAAATTAGTCTGATTTAATGGAATAGTAGAAGGATTTCCATTTAAAATGTTTCGTGTATATATGGATTAGTGTGTATTTGGATCTTTTTATTATACTTTTAAGGATGATTCATTAAAATCTTACAAATTGAGAGAATCTAATAAATGTATTTTTATCTATATTGATTTTAAAGGAGGTATTGGAAAAGGAATTGCTAATCAAGATATTACAGCAAGTGGTGAAAATGATCTAATGTTTTTTACTGGTAAAGTACAATTATAAACCATCTGATCAATTCATTCATCCATCATCTATCTACTTTACTTTCATGTTATATATTTATATTAATTTTTTTCAATTGATAATTCAACAGGTGAAACAATTGTAGTTTTGAAACATGTTATAAATGATATTTATCTTGTATGTTTAATAATTATTACATTATTATTTCTAAATATTAAATTCTCAAATTATCAAAATTATTTATTATCTTTTGAATTTTTTTAATAAATAAATAAATATACATATTAGGGATATTGTGAAGGCGTTATAGGGACATTTCGAGATGTTACAGTTGATTTTCAAGAACCATTAACAACCCTGAAATCTTTAAAATTAAAACAACGACAACAACAAAATCATCATAATGAAAATTCCAATCACAGTAATAACAGCAATGATAACAATTATCATAATAACAATGATGGTGGTGGTTTTCTTTTACCTTCTGATGCTATTCGAACTCATCTAAAACAATCATCCAAAAAAATTCCAAATCCACCAAAAAGATTATCCGGCTTACCGAAAGATTCCGTCACCTCTGCATCCATCATCACAACAATCCCAAATAGTAAAGTATCACCCAGTTTAACATTAAACTCGAAAAATCATGAATTATCATCAAAAATAATCAATCATTCATCAGTTCCTCCTACTCACCGTCAACGTGATGATCATCAGAATAGTTCATCACCATCGTTAAATAATAATCCTGAAATTTTAATATCAAAAGAACAATTATCACCAATAAATAAAATCAATCGTAATAAAGGACTTGAAATCATCGTTAATCAAAAAATATCATCAAATCATTCATCATCGACAATCCAAAATTCAACTTCGCCAAAACTTACAAACCACATTAATACAACTGAGATAAATCAAACTTATCAACTGAATTCAAGAAATTTAAATAATCATAATCATAATAACAGAATGCAAGTATCATCCAGAATTTCACCAGCATCCTTGCCAAATTCAGCACATTCTATAAATTCTAAATCAATCAATCAAATCTCATATAATGGCCAACTTTCACTAAGAAGTGCATCTCCTATCTCACAAAATTCTATAAACAATTATAATAATGTTTCAGAATATAAAAAGAATCAATCAATGAATCCAAATATCGTTTCTAATAAAATAGGCCATTATTCACCATCAACTTCTCCATTACCATCACCAGCTTTTCCAAAAGTTATGATAAATGATTCACCTATAGTAGATAGTGTTGACGATGATGATGATATAAATGATTATAATACGTATCCTGTTTCCACCACACCTGTAATAATAGCAGTAAAACAAGTTATAACTACTGATACGAGTGCTCCTAAAATAGCTCTTGATAAAGATATCGATGGTTATAATAATTATGGAAATTATAAGAAAGATAGTGGATATGAGCGGAAAGAAGAGGAGGGAGAGGGAGAAGAAGAAGAGGAAGAAGAGACTTTAATATCATATGCTAATAATAATAATAATAATAATAGTAGTAGTAGTAATAATAATAGTAATAATGTTGATAAAATTTCGTATCAAAATAATAAAAAATCTACAACAATTCCAACTGTTAAAATAGATTATACACCACAAACACTTCAAATACCTAATGAGCGATTAAGTGTTTACGAAAGTGATGTTACCACTGAAGATGAGGCAGATGATATGGATAAATTTGAAAAGGAAATCAATAAACCTGCTAATTCAGGTGAATCTAAAAGCATAAAAAAGAAAATCCTTGCAATTGATGAATATGGTTTTGTTTATGATGTTTCTGAAAAAGAAATCCCACCAGGAGCTGATCGAACTAAAAGAACGTATGTTTCAAATATACAGAATTTTTTTATTGTAAATAATTGTAAATTATAAATTATATTCATACGAATGTTCATGTTTTAGAGTACAAGCACCCGGTGCAGAGGAAAAAACTACACGAGTTATTAAGTTATATCGTGAACGTGAGGCCAAATGGTTGGTTGCTCTTGGTACTATGAATCCTAATACGGCAAGAGATTCAAAAAAAGTATGATTTGATTTAATAATTATTATAGATAATAAGATTTCAATAAATAACTTGATCAATATATTAATTATTAGATTAAAAAATTGGCACGCCTTGGTATTCCAGAATCTATCCGTGGTAAATCATGGCAATTTATGGCAGGTGCAGAAAAGTATAGAAAGTATCGATATTATGATGTAAGTTCTTTGATTGGTTGATGTAATATTTTTTGAAACTTTCTATTAATATATTATATTATAATATTACATGTGTTTTTTATAGGAACTCCGAAAAAGACCCGATCTCCCAATATATGATGTGATTGAAAGAGATATAAATAGATGTTATCCTGATCACATTCAATTTCGTAAAGAGACAGGTTCAGGGTAAAAAAAAATCACAATGATTTAATATACTTGCATTATATATGTATATGTTTATATTTTATATTTGTATTTATATTTACATTTATTTGACTTATTTACAGACAAGAAGATCTCTATGATGTTCTTAAAGCATATGCACACTATAGTCCAGAAATAGGATATTGTCAGGGTATGGGACGGTTGGTTGGAATGATGCTTATGCAAATGCCAGCAGAAGATGCATTTTGGCTTCTTGTGGCTACAATTGATGGATATATGAATGACTATTATACACCCACCTTAGCACAAATACGTATTGATGCTTTTATATTTGAAAAACTTTTAGCCGAACATGACCCTAAATTATCAAAACATTTGGTAATTAAATTTCCGAGGATTAATATTGTATTTTTTATATTATATTTATAATATGAAATCTTAACTAATTAATTATATCTTTTGTCATATATGTAGGCTGATAATGATATAATTCCATTAATTTATATGACACAATGGTTTATGACATTGTTTACAATGGCATTACCGTGGGCATCGGTATTACGAGTTTGGGATATATTTTATTTTGAGGGCACAAACTTATTTTTTAGAGTAGGATTGGCAATGTTAGATTGTGTTCGTGATCACATTCTTAAGAATTGTCCAACAAGTTCGGAAATTTTATCGTTTATATTACACATCCCACATGAATTGTTAACACCAGATCCACTTTTGGAGGCAATATTTAAAATCAAATTAAAAGCTAGTGTAATTAAAAAATTGACTAAAAAAGCAGTAAAGATTGAATTAGAAAAAGAAAATAATAGCAGCAGCAGCAGCAGCAGCAGCTTGTCAGCAAATAAAAACAACACTGATATTACTAGTTCTAGTAAAAAATCAAAACAATCTAAAAGTTCAGGAAATGCAAAAATAAAATTTAAATTAGTCGGTGAATAACCATCATTTCTTCTTCATTTTATTATTCCATTTTAATTAATGTATATTATTATTTAAAGACACTTTTTCCCTCAAAGACATTAGATTTAACCAATGTGTAAAAAAAAAAAATTTTTTTTAGACATTCAATTAACTTTCATTTTTAGATTTTATTACATTTTTATATAATTGTATATATACAAGAAAAATTTAAATTTAAATTTTTTATATAATGTTTTAAATAGGTAGTAATCATTTCTTTGCTCATCATTTGGTAATTGTCATTGCCAAGTTTGATGCTTTTCTTTTTTTCAATGAGGTCAAACTAAAGAGTAGATTCTTTTTACCAGTCATGGGTAAAAAAATTTTATATTCATTTACACCATCATTCTTTTTCGGTATATATATATATAATAATAAGTATAGGATAACCTGAAATTATTGTTGATATAAATAAATGTAATATATATCTTTGCGCATTAAAAAGTGACTTTCTGACTTAAAAGCTAATGGATCATTAACAATAACCAGAGTAATTAAATTGTTGTAAACATAGTTTTCAGCATGAACAAAGTGAGTATATTTGAAAAGAGGCTGTCAACCTGTTTTTACCACCAGGATTATATTATCTCCAGCAACGAACAATTCCAAGAACCAAATTCCAATTGTCGAACCGAAGGAGTATCCAAAAGGCCGTAATATATTTTTTGGCCCCATAGATTTTTAAGTAAAAGAAACCCACATTCCTGATTATACTCTAATATTATGAACGAAACGCCGAAAAGAAAAATTGTTACAGACATATGAAAGAATTAACTAGTTATGATTTACGAGAAGAAAATTATTGAGTCTCTCTGAATTTATATAATTATATGTGACGAAAGTTAACGGTTGATTTAACAATATATGTTGAGCGAGACCATTCCTGTGAAACTTATGCATCGCAAAATTTTGAGCGAGTCACATTGAATAAATATATTGGATCGTTTTATGTTCTACGTAACGTTTATGTTAAAAAATAAATGTATTATTTCGTAATCCACTACTCGGTTCTCTACCTAATTGATATTATTTATTTAATTCCTTATCTAAATAGAAAACATCTAGGATTTTTAAAGAAAAACCAGCACTATTTCGGCCCTGTACCATTGTATGATAGTAAAAACAAATAATATTTGTGAATCATTAACTCTAATTTTCATATCACTTTACAATTATTTATATAAAACTACTAATATCTGTATATTTTCGAATACTCATAATAGTTTCGAATATTCTTAACATTTTCTCTTACTTTTGGATATATATTTTTATTCTTTTTATCAAATATATATTTGATAATCCTCTTAAAAACAATAACTATCAAATTTTAATTTATTGTGGTTTCCAGTATCACTAAATAATCGTTCCGCAAGAACAGATGTTGCAGATATTTTCTAGCTAATTTTGTTAATAGAGGAATTTTTCTTTCCACCATCAACATCCTTTTAACTTTCGAGAACAAAATAGGTTGATGTTTCATCTCATCCTTGTTGATTATTTTTTTAGCAATTGATATTCTTTTTGTGAAAGCAATTTTATATTTGCTTGTTGCGCAGAGCTCAAACGATCAAGTGTTGATGAAATAAATGATAAATCTGATGGCAAATCTCAATATCTATTAAAACATGGGTTTTTAAGCCATTTGTATCTATTGGTCTAACATTCTTTACAAATTGTCATTTCGGAGTAAGATTCTTTTTTTACTGGTCCTTGCGAGAATTACTCTCTCCGGTATTAAGCTATCATGATCGCGGTTTTTGCTTTTATATTTTTAATCCGAATTTCCTGTTTTCTATCCAAAGAACAATTGTAGAATGTTAGTCGGAAATTTTCAAAGGCACAAAAAATAAAATGCACATATATATCGACCTTAAGAACATATACTATCTAAGTCACCATTCATCTGAACTGGTTCATCTAATTGGTTCAATTCATTTGTAAAATAAACAATAAAGTTAAACTTGTTCTAGTTGGGCCTTTAAATAGTCAAATTGCGAATATGAAGATCTTTTTTGGCCTTGTTTCCGGTGCAACTTCCATCTTAACATTTAAGGTATCAATCGATCTTGTGTATAAATAGTTCTTTGGATCTATGCTCATCCTGGAAAAATTACAAAATTCATTAAAAAAAATATTGTCGGTTTTAACTATTACTGTATGAAATGCACCATTAAAAATAAATGTGCCATAGTTATTGGCATAAAACTTTATTTATATGAATTATCTAATAATGATTATGTTTATATAGTTGTACTAATTAACTTTAAATTAATTTTAACAAGAAAATCACATTGGTGATTATTATGAAAAAATTGAAAATTAATTATTAGGTTGTTTCGAGTAAGGTTGTATAAGTTTGAAGATGGATCGTTGTTATTGATGATATCGAGAAATAGGTGGCTAATTAGTCAATCCTGTGCTCATATTTCCGTTAATAGCTGTTATAGTCGTCATAATCGAAATTATTGATGTCACCTCCTTTAGTATTATTATTATATTGCTGATGTTGAGGAGAAGGTGGCTGCTTGGTCGACCCTGCACTCCTATTTCCGCCATTGTTATTTCTGTTATATTTGTTATGCTCGGAACCATTGATGTCGCTTCTTTTAGTTGCATATTGCGGTTTTGGAGATTGATCCTTATTATATTGTTGATATCGAGGAGAAGGTGGCTGGTTGGTCAACCCTGCGCTCATATTTCTGTTGTAGTTGGAGCCATTGATGTCATCTCTTTTAGTTGCAGATTGTGGGTTTGAAGACTGGTCGTTATTATATTGCTGAGATCGAGGAGAAGGTGGCTGGTTGGTCAACCCTGCGCTCATATTTCTGTTATAGTTGTTATAATTAGAACCATCGATGTCATCTCCTTTAGTTGCAGTTTGTGGATTTGAAGATTGGTCATTATTATATTGCTGATATTGAGGAGAAGGTGGCTGATTGGTCGACCCTGCATTCATATTTCCGTTATAGTTATATTTGTTATAGTTGGAACCATTGATGTCATCTCTGTTAGTTGCAGATTGTGGATTTGAAGATTGGTCATTATTATATTGCTGATATTGAGGAGAAGGTGGCTGATTGGTCAACCCTGCACTCATATTTCCGTCATAGTTATATTTGTTATAGTCGTCATGCTTGGAATCATTGAAGTCACCTCCTTTAGTCGCAAATTGTGGATTTGAAGATTGATCATTATTATATTGCTGATATTGAGGAACAGGTGGCTGATTGGTAAATCCAGTGCACATATTTTCGTTATGGTTGTCATGATTGAAACCATCGATGTCACCCCTTTCAATTGCAGCTCGTTGTTCTCCAACGTAAAATGCAAAAGCTGACAAGAGTGAGAGTAAGAGAGGTATAAGTACAAGGACAAATGCAACACCGCCAATCCTTACGTGTTCAGTTGGTTCAGCTAGTACAGTTTTAGTAGTACTACCAATTGGTGGAGTCTCAAGCATTTTTTGTATTTTTAAAAGATTGTCAATTTGTCCTCCCATTGCTAACGTAATGATAAAAGAACTGAATAATGCGAGGAGCCATGACACATATTTAAACATAATATGACTACGACTATAAATGCCAACGCAAATCAGCATGAATGATGTTACTACACCTAAAATGTATTCAAACAATAATCAATAATCAATATAAAAATCTTCACATTTTATTGATTATGATTAATAAATAAACAAATTACCCATAGCATGCATATACAACAAGAATTGTGTAAATGCGCTTCTATAGTAAACACTATAATCTAAATAATCACCAAGATACGCATAACTAGTAGATCCAAATTTCATACATGAATATTTAGTACTAATCAAAGTGCTGGTTTCATCACAAAATCCGTATATGCCATATATAACTTTCGAACCTCTTGGATCAGTGCTATTTGCCTCATAAATCGCAATATAAATTGATTTAATCATTGGCGTCCCCAAATTCACTATTAAAAGACACAGGAATGAGATAAATGACAACCCAGCTGCAATAGTGTTAGCATTTGTAGCGGAGATAGCAGGAATGGGAATGGAAATGGGAGAAGCAGGACCCATTTATATTACTTGTAAAGGATAGTGTTTTTTTAATAAAGGAATATGAGAGTTACAGGTTCTTTAAAGGAATGTTGTTGAATTTGGTGATTGTTTTAGTGAAAATAGTAATTATTATTTTCAAAAAACTAAGCTGGGAATCAAATTTTTATTTTTGTTCTTCGTTTAAATACAAATTTCTTATTCTATTTAGTATGACACATTCATTGTTAAATTGCTCGAATTGATATCAATATTTGTGTAAAATAATATTAAAAAAAGTGTCATCGATAATTCCAATTAATTTCAATTAAACAATTTTCATTTGTTTCCGGGTTCTTTTTGTTTGTTTGTTTTTCATTCATTTTTTTCATTAATTTGGCTATTTTATTTATTACTATTTATTTATTATTATTCGCTGTGTTCATTAGAACGTAGAAATCATTTACTAATAATACTAACACTAACGAGTAAACTGGCCAATTATTATTATTATTATTATTTATAAATAAAAAATGTGTAAAAATACTAAATCCGATAAAATATTAATAGTTTGTGAAGACATAAAACTCAAAACAAATAGATATTTATTATTAATATAAGTTTTACACATTCTTAAAGAACTATCAATATTTGGTTTTTAAAATTCTTTTTTTTACATAAGATAATGAATATTTATACATACATACTAATACAATATAATTATCTGTAGCCCTTTATTATCAGGCTTTATATGGTTATATTTATTATTATATACTAACAGATTTTTAATGAGATATTTTGAAATTATTTCTCATTTCATTCATATACATACGTAAGGTAATGCTAAATCAATCATATGTACAGTATATATATATATATATTTACATACTTTTTAAGTTTGTTTCTACATTACAATGAAATTTTGGCTCATACAAACAACCAAAAAATCAACTAACTACTTGTCATCTTCTTTCAGTTAAAGACGACTTTAAGTTAAGCAGATGAATATATGATGAGGGCCAAATTACCCTGACTGGTTTAAAATGACTATTCCGAAATTATATAATGAGCTATCCCTGTTTTTACAAATTGCATCCAGCATTTTTAAACTCAGGCAGGGCATAAAACAGTTATCCCCTGGATCATGTAAGCTTCTCCCACCATCAGGAGGGACCCTCCAAGGCTTATATGTTATCCAGGGGATTACGTGATGATACCACAATGACATACCTTAGATTTATATCTTCAGATGTCCAAAAAACACCAAAATTGTCATAGGAGAAAATTATCTTCAAAAAAAACATCCTTCGAGTATGGCGAGGGTTGCAAGTTTCATATATAACCATTAATTATTTTTACATGACGACATGCTTTGGTTTTTTTATCTTTCTGTGGAGCTTTAAAAGCTTTCAATTACATAATTCATACTAATAAACAAATAAATGAAAGTTTGTATAACAATTTTATTATGATCCGCAAACAAATAATACAGTCCCTGGCGAAAAGAATGGTGGTGGGAATATCTTCTCTTTTTTAGCACGTTGGAATGCTATTTCAAAAAGCAATGAAAAAAAACACTTAATAATTTGTCTAGAATTTTTTAAAGAATTAGCTTGCCTTTCAACTACACTATACTACAACCGTGTTTTGTTATATTGCATTATTGTTGAAGGGCATGCTTAATAATAAAATGAATCAAATATATAATTACGAAAGAAAATATTTAACTTTGATTATCTTGACAGCTAGAAGTTAGACTAAAACAATTTTACTACCATTTGAGCTTGTACAACTTCTGTATAATGAACAGATTTCATGTATAGGTATTTAATTTCTGATCCACTTTACCAATGTAATATGGTTGGCTCGGTCTAAAGACCTCCTATTGCTGCGCCACGCGCTCAAATTTCAAAAATTGCAATTTTGTGATTCGTTCAAAAATGCAACAAAAATTTTAAAAAAATTTCAAAACGTAATTTTGGTTAAAAAATTATTTTCCTTACTGCCAAATTTAGATATGATGGTCGAGTATTAGTCTAAATCTAGTAATGATGGTCAAAAACTAGTCTAAATTTAGCAATGATCCTAGCGCTCAAATTCCTCATGAACATAGTAAAGTACATGTTTTAAAAAAGAATAGAACTCTACAACAAATAAATTTTTTGAGAAAATCTCTCTATTACATTAAAACTAAAGACCTATTCTATCAACTAATAGAGCTATTTTTTTAAAAGGTAGGACAGAAAATGACTTCTATACTTTTAAAATTTGCACAAAATTTAGGAGGTCTTTAGACCGAGCCAACTATACAATATGGAAAAGATCATCATTCAAAATTATCAAGAGGCATCTAATGTTGGTAAATTCGTCTTAATCTGATCACTGGTTGGTGAGAAAACATTTTAAAAAAGGGCTAAAAATTGCTGACTTCACACATTATTTGCAATATTAAAGTCTGAATGAAGGTGAATGGAGAAAATACAAAATATCAGTTGCTTAATAAGATTTATCTTCCTAATTTTTAGCTTTTATTTTAAAAAAAGAACTTTCAATTTGTTATGTAATTGCATGAGTAAGGTTAAAAAGCTAAATCGCCATTCTTTTCGCCGGAGACTACAAAGTAGAGTTGGATCGGTCGGTCCCTTGAACCAGTCCAAAAATCGGTCTTTTAGAAAGGGGCATGAGTCTTTTTTTTATCAAATTATGACAAATTATATTATTTCATGTAATAAGTAAAACTTTTTAAAAAAATCAAACATTATATTGAAATAAAAATTATAGTGGAATTTCGCTCTTGTTTCATTTCTAATACTTGATGATAATCAGCCAATACGATATTAATATTAATAATGAAAATGAAAATAATTCAAAGTTGACAATACGTCACACGAAATTTTATATCTTTAATTCGAATATTAGGACTGGTCCTTTGAGCTGGACCGATCCAATCCTAGTTTAAAGCAGTTCTATTTCTGTTTCCTGTTCCTTTTGGTGACTCTTATCATGACTGATAAAACTCTATTTAATGTGACTGCCAACACTATGACTTTAAAAAAGAACGTAACACTTATAATTCAAACTCCGAAAGGAAACTCGAACATAATAATAACGGGATTGGCTGATTCGTTTGGATAATCTTTATAATACGTCGATCGCCACTAAAAACTCAGCGACGTAAAATTCTTAATAATAAAATGAGAGAAAAAATCATATCCCATCCAACGCCCACGATACATTATCCAATGAATAAATATTAATATTAAATTTGTTCACAGGTTCACCATAGAACCAACCGCTCATACCTTCTTTTGGTCCAGTAATCCTTTGCATTATTTAAAACTATAGAATAGTCATCCAAAGTGCAATAGTTGTATGATTAATGTTTACAAAAGTGCCTTCTAGCTTTTTTACAAAAAATAATTTAAAATAAATTCATAATATCAAGTATAACCTGGTATTTATATTAGTATGGTTTTTTATTTGATATTTTTTTTAACGCCAAACTTCATTTTTTGAATATATTTAGTACTAGTACCAGTGTTCATAAAATCGAATTAGACTAGTCGCTAAATTTGGCCCATAATCAAATGTCATGTGATTGGTAATATGTGATATAATTTGAGAAATTTATACCTTCCTTTTTTTTTTTTAAACTTCAAAATAATAATGTCTCAACATTCCGTTGAAAAAACTGACACATTCTTCATTAATAATAATAAGGGATTTCCAGGAAATATAGATTTTAACAGGACAAAAATTCGTCTTCAAGATGCACTTAAAACTGCATCAGTAAGAATTAATTTAGATTATTTGGAGAGGTTTTTTTTTTTTGTAAAAAATTAACTAAATCTAAACACACATGTATATATATTTTTTAGTATGAACATCCAGAAAGAGTATTTCGAGACATTGATGAAACTTTTGTCGCATTCAAAGCATTAACTCAACTCAAAATGGAAACATATAGTAAGTTTCAAAAAATGATTTATTTCAGATATTGTTTATCCTGTTATTCCTGTTACTCTGAATGAAAAAAAAGAACTGCTTGTTTTTGATTAAGTTTAGTTAGTCTTGATTAGATTAGATTAATATAATTAAAAAAAGTCAGATTATATACAAAAAATATTTAGTATCATTTGGCATTATTGTTATTGTTATTATTTTGGTTGCTTTATAAGTGAGTCAAAATCAACAACAATAATAATAATTGGGTGGTCAAATCAATCCTTGATTGATATAATGCAAGACCATTGTATTTGAACTGCTAAAAATATAAACAGGACATACAAATATTATTTTAATAAAATTCTCACAATAGACATTGTGATCTCCTCACTTTGATTCATCCACACAAGCCCACAATGATGGTAGAACTCAATTCTTATTACGCCTTTACGGAACTATTCCAATTACATATCGGGCGACATCTTACAATATTCCTGTTGCACTATGGATTCCAACTGAATACCCAAAGACTGCTCCTTTTGCTTTCGTAGTCCCCACATCTAATATGCTGATAATGCCTTCTCAACATATTGATGTAAGTGGTAGATGTCATCATCCATATTTACAAAATTGGGGAAATCAGAATGAGGTTTGTTATAAAAAAAAATTTTTTTTTTTTGGTAAAAATTATCCCCAATTTTTTTTTTATTCTCACAATATTTTTATTTCTTTTCATATAGGAACCAAATATTGTTAAATTTTGCTCAATTCTACAAGCAGTATTTAGTCAAACTCCACCAGTAGTTACAAAACTTACAACACCACAACATTCTTCTACACATCCTCCTCCTTTGCCTCAACAAATTCCTAAAACTCAATACCCATCTGGATTACTGCAACCTAGAAATCACAATTACAGTGTACCACTACCTGTTGCTCCTTTTCATCCTTCACAATATAATTTCTCAGTAAGATTAATATTATATTTACATGTTTGAGGTTTTTGAAAAATAAAATAAAATCAATTTTAAAACTTATACTAATCAATTTAATCAATTAAATATAAACATATTTAAGCCATTAATATCTGGTCAACAGACACTTCAACAATTGCCACTACTGCACTCTTTAGAGCCACAACCAAGCATACTTGATGCACTGCCAATTGCCACATCACAACCTGTACCATTACCTAAAACACAAAATCCTGAATTGATCAATTTACAAATTATGGTTTATGATAAAGTGAGAAGGAAATGTGAAGAATATATCGAGATAGCATCGCCAGAATTTCACATGATAATGTCTATTGGTGAAAAACTCAATCAAAGTCAGATGCTGATTGAAAATGAAAGGAAACAATTACTTGAGAACGAGACAAAAATAATGAGAAAAACTGAAACTTTGAAAAATAAAATTTCAGAAATTGATAAACTTATTGAACATACTAGAAATATGCCTGAAATATCGGTTGATGATGTATTATGTGGATCCACCATTGTTTATAATCAGTTAATATATTTATTTTTTTTAAAAAAAAATTTTTTTTTTCGTTAATAATAATTTCATTTCATTTTATATATATATAATATTAGATTATTTGATTTGGTGGCAGAGGAAAATGCAATCGAAGATGCAATTTACTATTTGGGAAGAGCATTAAATTCTGAAAGAATAGATTTAAATACATACATGAAGGTAAAGCCAGTGATGTTTTTTTTTTACTAAAACTCATAAAAATACTTATATACATTTTTTAAAAATGTTATTAGAATATTCGAACTCTTGCAAAGGAGCAATTTATGAGGCGGGCATTGATTCATAAAATTCGTAGACAAATAGGATTGGAGCTTGTGTAATTCCTTGAATTAATAAAAGATTTAAATTTCAATTACACACAGAGATAATGATGCACTGGACATTTGTATCAAGTCGGGTTTTTCTCAATAATTAATGTTTAATTATAAATAGATTATTATTGTTGTTGTTATGATTATTATTATTATTATTATTATTATTATTATTAATATTAACTTTTTATTTATTGATTGATATGTATAAATTTAAAGATCCTAATGAAACCATAATATATATGTTGTAAATTAATGTTATTCTTATACATCCAGCAAGAATTTCATTTAAACTCTTGAACTTAGAGAAAATTTAAATATTATTATTATTAAATTAATTTTATTTCTTGGTAACCATACATGCATCGCATTTTTTTCAAGGAACCTTTAAAATTTTTTATTGGCAATAAATTATTATCATTATTATATACTATATAAAAATATAAAAAACCCAAATTTCATAATAATAAAATTTTATTTCACATCTTCATTATTCTTCGGGAACTATGTCAAAAAAAAAATTTTTTTTTATTAGTAAATTTTTATTTTAAATCAATATAGAATCATATAACTATATTAAATTTTTTTACTTTCAACTTCGCCAGAGTCAATTGATGCACATAAATCTCTAGGACCTTGACTAATAATTATAATAATCAATACATATACAAGTAATAAATAATAACGTTAAATAAATTATTGTATATATAAAATTACAAATAACTAACCCATCAACAGTGCATCCAACGCTAAAACATGTTCCCAAAACTTCTTTTACAGTTCCTTTCAAATTTTTAGCAAATGATTTGTACCGTAATGTACGAGCGATTTCTATAACATCATCAAGTGCGATATTACCAGAATGTTTGACATTTTTTTCTTTTTTACGATCTCTTGGTGGTTCTTTAAGCGCTCTAATGACTAGAGTAGATGCTGTGGGTACAACTGAAACTGCAGCTTGACGATTTTGAATTGTTAATTTAACAGTAACACGTAAACCTTTCCAATCTGAGGTTGCTTTTGCAATATCTTCTCCTACTTTTTTTGGTGCCTATTGTTTGATTCATTATTGATTTTTTTTGGTTAATTATTTCCCTTTTAAAAAAATAAAATGTAAAGAGTTTTTACCAAACCAAGAGGACCAATTTTGGGAGCTAAAGCACTAGACGCACCAACTTCACCTCCTGTTGCTCTAAGATAAACTTTTTTTATTTGAAAAAAAATTTTAATTATTGATTTTTAAATTTTTTTTTCTTTTAAAATAAAAAATCATCATTTATGTACATATACTCAACTAATTTTTATTTCATTGGGATCGATTTTAGGTGCCATTTGTTTCTATTTTATATATAAATTGAAAAATTGAAAATTTTAAAAAATGTTTCGACAGATCTGAAATTTTTTTTTTAGTTACACACAATCAGACAGACAATTTCAAAAAAATGATAAAATTTTCATCTGTTAATAATATTAATAAATTCATAAGAATCATAAACTATTCATCATCATTTTGTAAAATAAAACATTCTTTTTATTCAACAAAATCATCAACAACTTTTAAAGGTATATTATTATTATAATATAGTAACAATGATGATAGCTACTATTTTAAAAGAATAATAAAATTTAATAAATTATTACAGAAATTATAAAATCATCATCATCATCATCACCATCATCATCATCACAACAAACTCAAAAACGTAAGGAGTCTTCAGTACCAGCTGGAATGATTATAAAAGGATTAAATTTTTATAAAGATGGATCTGACCCTATAACAAAACTTGATAATGAATATCCAGATTGGTTATGGGAATTATTAGATGAAGAAATCGTTGAACAAAAAAATTTGGAAGATAATAAATTTTCTAGAAAATCACATCGAAAAGAACGAAGAGAAAAAATTAAAAATGATAATTTCGATAGAAATAGGAGAAATTAAATATAATAGATTGTGCGATTATTATTATTATAATAATAATAAATATATCTACAAATTTACAAAAGAAAAATTTTGTTTGAACGTCAAATATATTAGCTGTATAATAAAAATGATTAAGTTTGCAAAGAGAAAAAAAAATAATTGACTTTTTTATAAGCTCCATAGATTAATTACACACATCTTTTAAATAATAAATAAAAAGTTATTGATCAAATTCCTTTTTTTAAAAAAAATTTATATTATCATTTTTAGATTTTTTTTTTTTTACAAGAAAAAAAATTGTTCATAATCATAAAAAAAATTACAAAATCCCATCCTTGTAATTAATTCCTTCCTAATTTAAAAATAATCAATTTTTTTTTAAAAAAAAAAAAAGAAAAAAAAAACCAATTGTTCATGATAATTGTAAAAAAAAAAAGTGAAAAATTATTCAATTGTCTTGATTTTTGGTTTAAAAACCTTTATGATTTTTTTTAAAAAGAAAATTCAATAAATGTGTTGTATGTATTAAGAAAGTTTTGTATATTTTTTTTTTTAATAATAAATAGTAGTAATAAATAAAATCATGAAGGAAAAAAAGAGATTCCTTTTTAATTTTTTAATTTACCCATCTGATTATTTTCAGGTTGTGGTACATAATGAGGCTCCATCATCATAGGCCTTTGTCCCATAATTACACCATTTGGTGGTACTTGAGGTACCATTTCATGTGGATATCTCATCATTTGTGGCATTGCTATATAATGAAAGATGTAAAATATCAGTTTTTATTTTTATCACAGACCACAATCACAAAAATGATTAAAGGAATTTATATGTACCATGTGGGTTTTGATATGGCTGATATATTTGTGGATGCATTCCAGCTGGAACCATTGGTGTACGTCCTGGAGATGGAAATCCTTGTGAACCAAAATGCTCTATTTAAATTATATTATTTATTATTATAATACTTTGTTGTGTTTATAAAATCAATATTCGTACATGAAATAATTAAATAAAACTTACGTGGAACGATTGTTTGCATTTGATTATAAATAGCTGTCAAAAAAAATTTCATGCAAATTTTATTAATTACATATGTATGCCGCTTTAGTTGAATGTTATAATTCAATGAGATATTTAAATATAAAACATACGAGGGGCACCATTTTGCGGAATTGGTGGCGTAGGAAATGATACACCAGGTACAAACTATATAATAGATATAAATGTGCACAAGTCAGGATATAAAGCATTATCATAATTTTCCCAAAAATAATTCAACATACCCCTTGTTGCATATATGGCATAGGTGTAGGTTGTTGTAAAGGCATCTGTGGAACTACACCATATTGTGCTGCATTTGGATATCGGAAAGGTGGTGCAACAGGATAACTTGTGAATCCATAACCTGGATTGACCGTTGCTTGAGAATATATTTCTTCATCATAATTAGATGTGACAAAGTGGTGTCTGAATGGTCTTGAACCATAATTCCAAATTGGTGCAATTGAACTTGGATTTACTAATGGTTTTCCTTTATGAAAAGGACTAAACCCTTCTTTAAGTGTTGCTGAATTCTTTTTTAATTGTCGATTTCCAAAGAAAGGTGACTAGTAAAAAAAAAAAAATTATAAAATTATATAACCAAAATGATGATGATAATAAATTATTAAATTTTATACATACTGAATTGGGTGATTTTTTATCAGTATTGGTAACAATCTATTATATTGAGATATTTATTATATTATAAAAAAATGTAAATCTATAAGTTAAATCAACCCTTTGAACAATATATATAAATATTACATATTAAACAAATATAAATAAACAGGGTTGCTTATAAAGATTATTACTTCAATCAACCCATACCGGAGTGAAACTTGCCGCATTAGGATTTGGTTTCCATTCTGACGCCTTAACATTAAATTTGAATTGAGATGATGTTGTTGATGATGGTGATGATGATGATGATTGGTTGTTATTATTATTAGTATTATTATTTCTTGAATGTGGAAACTGTGGTGGTGCTTTATCAGCAACAGAAATTGATTTATCAGTTGATGTCGTTATCATTGGTGATGTTGTTGATGATGATTTATTATCACTATTTATTAATGTTTTTGACTCTGGTTGAGAAAATGATTTTTGCGATTTATCATCTTCAAATTTGATTTCTGGTTTTGATTTTAAATCTGAAATCTTGGATGCGGTTATTTTATCTTTGGATGATTTATCTTTGTTTTTATTATTATTATTATTATTATTATTATTATTATTGTTCTTATTATCAGTTTCAACACCTCTATCTAGTGCCTTATCTTTTGTTTTTTCATTGTTTGTAGTTACAGATTTAGCTGCAAGTTTTTGACGCTTAGATTCATCATTTGTCAAAATTGGTATAAGATCTTGTGGTAATGGTGAATTTAACTATATAACAAATATTTATTTTATTGTTAATGTTGAGCCTTTGTTAAAAAAGAAATATTTATATTTATATTTAATCAATTAAATGCCTTAAAGTTTTGGCCCCATTTAAGTAATTCGGCAACTTTTCCATCCATTTCTTTTTTGAATATAGCTTGTTTTCTTTGTTGAAGCCTTTCTTTTTCGTTATTTGCAAATTGTCGGAATGTTTTGACAATTTGTGTTTCCATTTGTGTTTCGATTTTTTTCCCCTCAGAGCTTTGATTGTTATTATTTCTCTATATTATATGTATGTGTGTGTATTTGATTTATTAAATTAATATTTATTTAACAAATTAAAAATAAAAATAAATGAACACCCTAGGAACCTTAGTAAGTAAAACTTCAATTGGTTCTGTTATACGGAATTTAGCCAAACTATTAACTTTTTGTACAGGCGTGGTTGATTTATTTGTGGCAGCAGTTGTATTGGTTACTGTCGTGGTTGTGGTCCCGTTGCTTAAAGGTTCTGACTTGTTATTGTTGTTATCAGGTGATGATGGCTTTATTTCTTCTGTAGGTTTTGATTTAGCAGTAGTCGTGGTGGTGGTGGTGGTGGTAGAAGTAGTATCTTTAGAAGATTCTTTAGCTGGCTCTGGTTTGTCAATTATTTGTGTAGTAGTATTTGTTTGTGTTTGTGTTGGAGGTTGTTGTGGCTGTGATTTTTGCTGTTGAGGTTGTTGTGGAACAGGAATGGGTAAAGGTGGTTGTGATGGTGGCGGTGGCGATGATGGTTGCTGTTGCTGCTTTTGTTGTTCCTGCAGTTGTTTACGAATTGCAGGTGGCATGTATTTACTTGGATCACGACGAGCCACAGCACCATAACTAAATTAAAAATAATAATATTTTGATTGGATTTAAAAAAAGCAACTTTTGAATTAATGAATAAATAAATCAATTGATCACTTAATCAATCAGTTGATCGCTTACAGTTGTTCTTCGTCAATTTGACTTTCATCTATGATATGACCACGTTCTTCCAACATATGAACGTTTGTAGTAGTAGTCTATAATAATCATGAAAATTTAAATAGCTTAAAGCATATATAATATATTTATATGTTTATATTTTTTAAAAAGAAAATTAAACCTACTCTGTTAATTTCATTTGCAAGGGCAATAGCAGCCTTTTCTCGTTCTTTAAAATCAGGCTTTGATCGATCTAATTTTGTGGTATAAATTTCTTCATTGAAATCAGTGGTTATACCAAATAATTGTCTATTCACTTCAAATTGATCCCAACTATTATCACCATTTTCTAAACTTAAATCATCCGTGCAAAGGAGTTAAGGATTAACATAATAAAATAAATGTGTGTTTGTGTGTGTGTGTGTGTGTATATTTAAAAAAATGCAAATGTAAAAAAATAAAAGGATATTCTATGCCCAACATATTTTCTCCTGATTCATCAGGAGTCCATTTATGAAGTTCTCTTTCTCTGATTTCTGTGCGATCAGTTATATCAGAATCAGTTCGAAAAGCTAATGATTAAATATTTAATGGGTAGGATATGAATTATAAGTAAATAAATTACATAACACGTGATATATAATATATATATATCTAGATCGTATCAACAATAGACTACGTACTATCACGTTCAAAACTTGGTCTTTCTGATGCAGAAAAGTCAACATTTGTAGCATGTATGTCCATAAGATCTTTTGCCAATATGATAAAAGATTCTTTTGCAGGATTTGGAGTAGTTTTTTCTTCGTTTTTGGATAAAATCCTCCTGGCTAATCTTAATACCACACCCATTTCACCATCTGTGCAAGCCGTCCTGAAAAATCCTTGATATTTTACACCACTTTTTAAAGTGACGACGACATTCATACCCTAAAAAATAGTAAATTATATTAAATAAACGTTTATGAACATATGAATATTTGATGATATGAGTTATATATACATACGACTAAATTAGAAAATAGAAATAACATTCGATCATGCATATGTCTACTGGCAATTTCATCATAAACCACTTGCTCGATTGGTTTGTATGAATTTGGACCAGAAGATATTGGAGGATGATTGTTGTTATTGATATTATTGTTATGATTATTCATATTATTGTTGTTGTTATGATTATGGTTGTTGTTGTGATGATTTGCGGATGATGGAACAGAGTTTGGAAGAATCTGAGCTCTTGGTGTTAAATTAGCTGAATGTTGAGAATTATTATTGTTGTTGTTGTTGCTGTTATTGTTGTTGTTGACATTGTTGTTATTGTTGTTATTGTTGTTATTATTGTTATTATTGTTATTCCATTTATTTTTATTTCGACTATAATTTTTATTCGATCAATAATTTAAAACTTTGGACGTAAACGATTAAATATTATGAAATAAAGAAAAATTACCCTTGATTTTGGTTTGTAAAGGATTGATAACCTTCTTGTCTACGAGTTTTTGCTCTTGATACAGCCGAAGACATTTTTTTATTTATTAAAAATCACGATGATGTTTTTATTTTTTTAAAAAATTTGATAATTTTTAATTTTTTAACAAATAAATCAAAAATAAAGTTTATTAAAATTTTTTTTATTATTTTTTCTTTGATATTAATATTATAATATTTATAATACAGTCGTGTAACCATTCAATTTATTATCGTACCACCTCAAAGTATATATATATAATATTTTCAAAAATTTTTTAAAAAAAAAATCATACACATTTCCTTAAGATCTCTTTCCACACAAAAAAAAAATTCGAAAATTTTTTTGAATTTTTAATTGGAAAGATTCAATGATTGAGTCATAAGTGTGTTATAATAATATTTGTATTTTGGTCTTTGTTTTAAAGAGTTTTTCTTTATTCAAGAACAAAATTATTTGTCATGTTGATATTTTTTAAATAATTTTTGGTGATAAAAAAAATTGCAAAAAAATAATATTTTTTTATCATTTGAGAAATTTATCAACAACATATATTATATCCATGTCAATCTCGATCGACACATCCATAATATTAGATTAATAATTAGTTGACTTCTCTTGTATCAATAATGAATGCTGTTAATATTATTTTTGTATCAATCATATATTAATATTATTAATATAATATATATGTTGGATTGTTAATAAAGTTTTTTTAATTAAATTATGATCCCATCTATACAACATACAAATTTGTTAAAATTTTTGCAAATAATTTCCAAATTTGGTTAACACCATAGCGTAATTTTTAATCGACCAATCATCTTTTTCAAATATTTTATCACTGATATTAAATTGATAGGTCCAAAAAAAATTTTTTTTAAAATTAATTTTTTTCCTTCCCACATCTTGAAAAGATAATCAAAAAAAATTTAAAAAAATTTTTCTTTATTAAAAGTTATCAGAGGAGAGAAATTTATAATAATAACGGTTAAAAATAAATAATTATTCAAAGAAAAGGATATAATATAAATAGATATAATATAATATAATAATGTTTAAATCATTATTTACCAAGGCAATAAATAAATCAGCAGTTGTGGCAAGATCTAGTAATGTCACCACCACCAGTGCTAATGTTCTTTCTAATACTATTTTACGTCGATGGTTAAGTGGTAAAACTCTTTATCTTTCTAATCTTTCTTACGGTACTAATGAACAAAGTCTTGAAGCACTTGCATCAAAATATGGCAAAGTTGCATCGATCCGAATGCCTAGAGATTTCGAGGGTAGAAGTCGCGGATTTGGATTTGTCGAATTTTTTGAGGAATCAGATGCAGAAAAGGCCCTAGAAAGTTTACAAGGTGTGGAACTCGAAGGCAGAGAATTAAGAGTAGCAGAAGCAACTGGCTCAAAAGGAGGAGGTGGTGGTAATCGGATGGGAAGAGGTGGTGGTGGTGGTGGATTTGGTGGTGGTGGTTATGGTGGTGGTGGTGGCGGAGGTTTCAATAGACCACCACGTGAAGATTTTGAAGAATATGATCGTGGAAGTTACGGACGCCGTGGAGGTGATTTCGGTGGACGTTAAGTGGTGAATTAAAAATGAATTAATAAAATAACATTAATATTAAAAATATTAAAATATATATATATATATATATAATACATGTAATTCAATTTAAATTAAAAATTATTTTTTCATAATTTTTTTTTTGTTTAAATAAAAATATTTTTTTAAAGACTTGCACGTGACATTATTTAAAGATTGAAAATAATCTTACTGAAAAGATCCTATTTTATTAAAAAATGTTATTATTTATTTGACAATTTTGAACAGAACTGAAAGAGTAAATCAAAACCAAACAGCAAATTTGTCTTGGAAAAGAAGGTTGCAGATGATAAAACGTTTGAATCAGAATTGGCAGTAAATTAGTCATATAATAATATAATGTTGGTATTAATTAATAAATAATAATGATAACAAAGAATGATAATAGTAATATTCTAAATAAGGGTGGACAAAGCGGAGAAGAATTACCGTGGTTTGTAGATCGTTGAGGATGGAACAATTGCGCCCATTGGTTCTCCGCAGCCTTTATTTGTACATGGAGTGGACTTGCTAAAATTCAAAAGATCTTCCAAGAAAGGCAATAGCGGATAATAGTAATAATAATAATGAATAATAATTATTTCTTTCTATTCACCTTTGAAATATTCCTGGCAGAAGACAATGTCTGGTACTTGTATCACCAATGTTTCTAATAAGAAGCAGTCTTATAATTAACTGAACTCCGTTGTTAAACAATTGCGGGTAAATCATAAAGTCTAAACGGCAACTTTGTATTACCATTCCTCATGTATTTGTTTAAAGAACATGCAGGAATATTTCCAGAACAGAAAAAAAAACTATTTATTGATTATGCATAATAATTACCAATTAAAAAAATAAGATTTGACATAAATAATTGAAAATATAAATAAATCTTAGACTATATTTAGATTTAATTTAATGTTAAATATAGTAGGTTTTTTCCAAGAAGTTGGAAGAAATATTCTAAAAGACGCTCGATGACTATAATTAATAAAACAATGTTGAAGGCAATGATGACAATAGTAGTTGTAATGATAAGGAGAGGATAATAGTGACAATGATGATGATGATGATAAATGAGAAGGCAATAGCGAGAATACTTTATAATTTTTTCTTTTTCTATGATAATACCAAATTGGATAAACTACAATCAATTAAAAATAGAAATTTTCGATTTTTCAAATAAATAAATCATTCATTTTTCCAGCTAATAATTCTTTTTTAGAAAAAATTTAATATAAATTACTAGCAATTCTCTCTCACGACCAAAATGAAATCAATCGGATCATTACATAATTTTCATTTTTTTAAAAAAAAAGCGTCAATTAATTAATAATTTTTTTAAAAAATAAAATTTTGAAAAAAAAAAAAAATGAAGTTGAAAATGTTAAAAAAAATCAAAAAATTCTACAACAAATTAAAAAATCGTAAACCTCCTATTTCAGCACCACTACCTGTTAATAATAATTACAATCAACCTCCTACTGTTGTTGCAACAAATAATTATAATACACTTACTACTGCCATTGCAACAAATAATTATTATACACCTGCTACTGCCATTGCAACAAATAATTCTTATACACCTGCTACTAATTATATTCCACCTGCACTTGTTGCTGGTGAAAATCCTACAACTTTACTAAAGGTTTTATATTCAAATGATTCCCAATATCAAGATATCGAAAAAGAATTTAAGGCTCATCTTGCAATTCTTTCGACTGCTACCACTGCACCAAAAATCGTTTCAATCATCGAGATTGATATGCCAGATACCATCAAAAAAATTCATTCAAATTATAAATCCAAGCATCCCCTTTTAGTTCCACGTAGATTATACCATGGCACAAAGCACTGTTGTGATTTGAGGTTGATTAAAGATTGTAAAGATCTATGCACAAATCTTACTTGCAACGCTTGTGGAATTATTAAAAATGGATTGAAAACGATTCATTCCCATAGTCCTGTTAATGGGATTAGTAAGTCGTCGTTTCTTTAGATTATATATAAATTTTTCTTTTTCTCATCGCCTTCTTTCTCGATCTTTATAGAACATTTGTGGTTTGGGCCAACACCGCGTGTTTCTCATGATTATACGGGAGCGAGGGTTGCGACATATAATTCGTTCAGAGCAATGTTTGTAGTTGACGTGGTTTCAGGAATTGATTATGGTGGAGCAGTAATTTTAAAAGATGAAATGGTAAATAAATAAATAATGAAAATTTTTAAATAACATGAATTATCTATCATTTGTAAATAATAACAAACATTATCATTTATTAGGGTGTCATTCCGAGATATTTGGTTCTTTACTCATTTTGTTAATTATATTTTTATTTGCTAATTTAATTAAATTATATTTTTATTTGCTAATTTTTAAATCATTATATATATATATAAATAAATGGATTATAGAGTTTTTTTTTTTTGTAAAAATATTAAATCATTAATAGTAAATATATAAATAAAATAAATAATAAACATTTAATTATTAAAATTATTGAATTTCGGCATACATTTCATCAATTTGTTTTTTAAAGTGTAATTTAGCTTGATGTCTTTTCAATTTAAAAGTAGGAGTGAACATCCCATTTTCTACGGAAAACGGTTCAGATGTTAAGTAAATGTTTTTAATATTTTCAAACCCTTTTAAATCGTTGGCTTTACCAAATTTTTGTAAAGCTGTTTTAATATGTTCTTTAACTTTTGGTTCTTTGCACAATTCTTCAAAGCTTTTATCACCAAATCCATTATCTTTAGCCCAAGCTGTTAAATTTTCTTGATCTGGTATAATAATACCAACCAATGATGCTTGTAACGAATCGCCATGTACAAATGCCTGTGATACTAGCTCATGTTTTTGATAGGTATTTTCAATCTAATTATTTAAAATAAAATAATAATTTGTCAAATTTATATATAAAATAAATCGACAAATATTTTTAATAAAATCAAAATTTTGTTTTTTTAAACTACCTTTTCAGGAGCAATGTATTCTCCTTGAGCCAATTTGAAAATATTTTTAACTCGATCAATAACAACCAATCTGCCTTGTTTATCCCACATTCCCACATCACCAGTATGACACCAACCATTTTCATCCAAAGTTTCTGCAGTTTTTTCTGGACTTTTATAGTATTCACGGAAAACAGTATTACCGCGTACACAAATCTCCCCTCTTGGAAGTGGCTTGTCATTTGAAAAATATTTCATATCTGGCACATCAACCAATTTAACTTCAACAGAAGTTTGAGGAGCACCTACGTGACCCGAATTGGTGTCACCTAATAATGAAATCGTTATACCTGCAGCATTTTCTGTTTGTCCATAACCTTCATATACATCAGCTGAAAAACAAATTCTTAAGAAATCCATTACATCAGGTGAAATAGGCGCGGAACCTGATAAAATAGACTTAACTCTACCGCCCAGTCTAGCTCTAATAGGACGAAAGACTAATTTATCCCATAATATATGTTCAACGGTTCCTTTACTTAAATTCTTTTTCTTGACATTAAAAGCTGTATTGAATAAAAATTGCGTTATGCCACCTTTTGATTTAACACCGGCCATGACTTTATCGTATACACGGTTAAGTAATCTCGGTACTGAAACAAATATTGTTGGTTTCAACTCGGAAATATCATCCAATAATTTCAAAGTGTCACCCTGATAGAAACCAATTGCGGAACCAGCATATATCATACTGGTAACGCTAACTTTTTCTAGCACGTGCGCTAATGGTAAATATGAAATGTAAACATTGTCTTTTGATGAACCAAACATTTTGCCTTTACTATTAAGGAACTCGATAGATCCACCTGTTGCCAATACATTTTTATGAGTTAAGACAACACCTTTCGGTAGACCGGTTGTACCAGATGTATAACTGATAGTACTAATATCATCAGGTTTTGGAGGTATGGCTTCTACTGGATTAATAGCGCCATCAGCCTCTATAGATATGAGTTTTTTAATTTGAATGTTGCTATTTAATTGTCTTAAATCATTTAAATCATCATCTACCAAATCGTCCATAATTATAATATGTTTAAGTTTTGGTACAGATTCATGCAGTGAAATAAGACTTTTTGCTTTATTTGAAGTAGTTAAAACATATTCCATATCAGTTTGATTGATGATATATTTAATTGCTTCGTCTCCTAAAGTATCATAAAGCGGGACTGGTATAAGTCCATATTGATAACATGCAAGTTCACCAATTATCTAAATAATAGAATAATATAGCTTAATCAGGAGATATAGTAATAACAACAATAAAATTTTGCCATGGCCATTGTTATACACGTACATATTCAGGTCGATTAATTGAAAGGAAGCCAATTGTTTCTTTGACATTTACGCCTAATTTCATTAGACCAGATCCAAAATTACTAACACGTTTTTCAACTTCTGTATAAGTTTGCCAAACATAAGGACCTGCGACGCCATTGTTAATTTCGCGATGTCCCAAGAAATTTCCACCCTCTAATAAAATAAAATATAAAATTATTTTTTGGAAAACTTAAATAATTATTAAAATTTAAAAAATTGGCATTGTAAAATAATACCAGAAGCTTTAATTCCATGTAAAAAATTTTCGTATAAAGTGGTTGCACCAGGCGGATTATCGGTTAATTTATCAGGTGAAAGATAATTACGACGAGGTAATCCTTCACCTATAACCTCTTTGTCAGAAGGAACCTCAACAGAATATTGAAATAATTCAGAGGAAAGCGATGGATCACTCATATTTAAATTATAGTGATAATATTATTAATTAATTAAAAATAAATAGTTTAAGTTTTTTTTTGAGGAAATTCTATTTTGTTTAACTTTATATAGTGATTTTTAAAAAGGGAAAAATCTACTAGTTTTGTTTGTTTTCCAAATGGAAAAAAAGCAGATCACTTGTAAATTAATTAATTATATTAATTATATTGTGAAATGAATATGGATTGATTGATTGATAATTTTATCCTTTGTGCATCACAAGAGAGTTACTGTGACTAATTGTTTGGTTAATCCCAGATTATCACCCTCAACGCCACAATTTTTATTGGCTAAAGATTTACAGGACCCCAAAAACCATATCGTTTGACTCTAAGCATCACAAAAAAGAACCCTAACATTGAAACTTTTATTTCAAAGGTAGGCTCATTCTGCACATGTTAAAATTGTGAAACATCTAATTAGGCTTCTTCATTCAGTAGAACAATGACTATTTATTTTATTGTCTTTGCTAGTCGCTTTGAGATCCTTATGCCTTCAATAAATCATTATATTTTCAATAAATATTATTGCCAGATTTATTATTCAAAACGCCTGTTACTCAACAAAAATTAAATAATTAAAAACAATTTGATACTTGTTATATATTGTTGTTGAACTAACTTGTTTATTTTTTTGTACAAACTGCTTTCTAGATGTTGGAGGAAATTTAATTACAAATTTTTTTTACGTAAGTCGTTCATTGGCATTGATTACGAATAGATTTGACCCTATTAAATTGTATATATAATAATTTTTGACCCATAAATAAAATACAAATAAAAAATTAATTTTTTGTTACACAAAACCTACTCGGCCAACTTTTAGTTTAAGAAAAATCCATCAATAGGTTTTTGAAGCTTGAGTCACGAACAATAAAACCTATCAGTTAACTTTTTAAAATGATATCAATTTTTTTGTACATTTGTAAAAACTTTTAAATAATTTAAACCTATCTATGATTTTTTCGGGGTTTTAGATTTACACAATATGTCTGTCGTGCAACACATTCATATTTCCTAACGAAGTTCTAATTTAAGATTTTCCAAAAAAAGAAAAAAAAAGAAGAAATAAATAACTAAAGAATTTACATTAAAGAATGTCGTCGTCAATTACTTCTTCTTCTGATCCAAAACGTCCCAACGCTGTTCCATATCATTCACCAATAAAAGATATTGATGAAATTGATCGTGATGTCTATGGAATTACATCACTTTTATTAAGTTAGTATTTTATCATATGAGAGAATTTTTATATTTCTAATATCTTATTAATATTTGTTTTGTATGTTTTATGTATATATATATATATATATATATATATATAGGTACAATTGGACTTGTATTAAAAGTAATGATAGATAATATTTTAGATTTGCGTTCATATTTATATTTCTTTTTATCCTTCTTATATAATTTTTGTATAATTTATCAGATAAAATTTGCATCTTGGACAGCATTGATGTTTGCTGTAGTTTCAGTGACTAATGAGAAAATATCAGATCAAGATCCAAATAGTGGAAGGACATCCGGATTCACTGGTCTTTTGTAAATGTCTTTAAAATTTTTTTTATGATTATTATTTTTTCTCAATTTTCTCAAATTTTTTTTATTATTGTAGGTTTGCAGCTTCAGGAATATTTGCCAACTATATGTATTTATTTGTAAATACTCCAAACTCTCCTCTCCCCGCTACTACTGCTGCTGCTGCTACTGACTAACACATCATAACATAAAAATATATTAATGATTCGCCATAATAGAATGCATTTATATATTTAATTAATTTAATTATTAATTATAAATTTAATTTATCAATAATAGATTATATATTAAAAATATCTTTTCAGGTATATTTTATTTTTATTTTTTTTTAAATTTCTAAAAAATTTTATCTAATTAAATTATCAATAAAGCAAATTATAAAAGAAATTTAAATCATTAAGTGAAGAAATTTATTAAAATATTAATTAGAAAGTGAATGGAGGAATAAAAAAAAAATTTTTTTTTCGTCTTCATCTTTCTTCTATATACATGAAATGAATGAAATAAAAAAGAAAATAGTAAAAATATTATTTTTTTTTTATTGATTGCTAATTAAAATTTACCAATTTTGCTATAAAAAAAAAAAAAAATAATATTATAAGAATATTATTCTTTAATCATTATTATTTATTTGAGAGCAGAGAAACTATCATTCTTTAACCACCGAAACCATAAAGAGTACGGCCTTGGCGTTTGAGCGCGTAGACTAGTTAAGGAAAAAAAAATGATTAATTAGTTTAATTAATTAATTAATATAATTGAGGGATAATTAATGTGTTGAGCGCATATATATTAAATAAAATTAAAGAATGTATAATAATACGCTGTGAACCAACTTACCGACATCCAAAGACGTGACCGTCTTGCGCTTTGCATGTTCCGTGTAAGTCACTGCATCCTAAAGATAATAATAAAAGATAAAAATTAAATTATTATTAATATTTGTTATTATTATCATTTGTTGTTATTATTATTATTATTATTATTATTATTATTATTATTAATTATTATTATTATTATTATTATTATTATTATTATTATTATTATTATTATTATTATTATTATTATTATTATTATTATTACATACTCTAATCACATTTTCAAGGAAAACTTTCAATACACCACGAGTTTCTTCATAAATTAGTCCAGAAATACGCTTTACACCGCCCCTTCGAGCAAGTCTTCTAATAGCTGGCTTAGTAATTCCTTGAATGTTATCTCGAAGTATCTTACGATGACGTTTCGCTCCTCCTTTTCCAAGCCCTTTACCTCCTTTACCACGGCCGGTCATTTTTAATGATTGTTGTTATTTATTATTATTGTAAAAGAATAGTATTATTAAAAGAACTATAGTATTGTTTTTATTTTTTATTTTTTTTAAAGGTACTTTTATGTGGTGTGTGGATATATATATTTCTTTGTGTAAACTTAAATTTTGATAAAAAAAAAAAAAAACAAAAAAGAAAGCAAACCAAATATATTATGGTTATTTCAAAATAATTTGGTATGTATTTATATATAAATTTATATTTAATTCAAAGAAAGGATGATGAATTATTAATAATATCAATGCAGATGTATATATCTATCCGAGCCATAGACCACGTCGGAATAGCAATAATAATAGAAATAGAACTTTTTCTTAAATTGGTTTTTATTATTTATTTATTTTTCAAAAAAAATAATCATTGTCAATAGCCAAAAAAAAAGGTTATTTAGTAACACATTACATTTATTATATATACACACGTGAAATGTGGATTTAGTTTGTTATTTTTCTGATAACATTGATAAGAGATGTAAGAGATGATGAGAAGATAATACGGAAGAAAAATTTTGTTAATATTAAGGGTTAAATATTGATCAACAGATTATGAACTAATACTGATACAAAATCCATTTTCAGCATGTATTTTCGGCATGTATACATTCATTTAGGTAATAAATTGTTTTAAATTTTTAATTTTTAATTCTTTCTTTACCAATGAGTTCACGAAGGACCGGAAAGACATCTAATGTGGGATACCGAGCTATCCGGAAACACTAAAGTCTCCTTTATATATTTTTTATTAAAAAAATATAACTCATTTTAGACTTTTATATTCATTGTGTAACGCGAAAAGTGATTCGCGTTATTAACTCGGAAAAATTTATCTCAGTTAATATTATATATTTTACAAGTAGTAACTCATGACTCATTTTTATCCATCAACAGGCCAATTGTTTGAGCAAATCTTTACTAATTTAGGTAAAACCATCATTTTATCATTTGCCCGGGTGACCCTTATTTGAAGTTTTCCCACCAAGTGGTAGTAATCTTTTATCTATTCTACATATTCTACATGTTCTTATTCTTCGTGGAAAATTCTCTTAAACACAAATGAGAGAATGAACTTCCTGTATTTTTACTTGTATTTTATAAAGATAATTAATTCATTATCAAAAATTATGCATATAATAAGGAAACTCGAGAAAGAGCATAAGAATGTTTTCATTGATAACATTCTGTTTTTTTATTCTGCTTTATCAATTTTTTTGCTAATGGGAAATGTTAGTTGGCGATCCACTATAAATGAGTGAAACCATTGACATTTCTTTAGCCTACGGCGTGTCCCAATACCAAACTTTTTTTCTTAAACAATTGATAATCTGGGAGATTTTTCTATCTGCACATAAAAAAATTTTTTATGTATATAGAACAAAAGCATAGTACAATCGATTAGTAGAAAATGATATCCAAATTTGGTTAATATCCCCCGCTTTTTTGTTATGTACGATTCACTCATTTAAATGCAACTCTTGTAGATTTATTTTTTTTTATTAATAAAAAAAATTGATCGTCACTGCAACAAAAATTGTGATAGTAGTGTAATTTCTTCCTTGTATTTTCTTTCTATCTTAAATTTTCTTTCTACGTTATAAATAAAATAAAATTATTATTATGTTTAATTATATTCTTTTCAACTTTATTTTTGTAACCCTTAAAAGAACCAGTAATAAACTTTTGAAATGATCTGACCTCGCATAATCTATCCTTGTGCCACCATCCTCTTTTTATAGAGATTACACATGAAATGTATTTAGGTGAAAATTTTAATTTTTTGAATCTTCCTTCCTCGAGGACTTTTTCATCTAACACATTATTTAAAACTACCTCATAACGAATTAGAAATGTATTTGAGCCCCAAGCTAATTTTACGGATTGCCAACTTTTTTTATATTATTAATATTGTATAATCTCCCATTTGGGTCGTGGAAATCAATAATAGATGAGATTGTAGGTTGATAGATGATAACGTTTTGGCAACGGATATTTATCAGAGAATATGTTGCTATTGTATTGAAAGTAATCCGCTATAATAATAATAATGCTCGTTTACTTATTGAGATATTTTGTACAATAATATTTCCAAAGCTAAGTTATCAGTTTATTTAAATGATCATTTTTTGAGCTTATCGACCAAAAAATTCATCAAATAAAGCTACCACTAAACCAACTGCGTCCATTAGGATGTGTGACAATGATGGCATTAAAGTAGCTACAGAATAAGTTGTAGCTATGATGAAGAAATATTACTCCAAATCAGCATAAATTTGACCATCCACACTACATTTTTTTCATGATCTTCTTATTCATCGATTGACTAGCTAACGATAAAAAATTTTCTTTGATGTGTGTGTTTATTGCTTCTAGAATCGATATTAATTAGCTTCCATAATAGTAATAGTCATTATATTGTCCGGATATTAAATTGTAATTGGTGAACGGATTGAATATCCAATAAATTTTATATGCAAATATTTTCCCAATTTTTTTACTAAAGAAAATGTCAAAAATAAATATAGAAATTTAAAAGCGACTATTTTGTCTACTATCGAAATTCAAAAATATACAACTGTGTGAGTCTATTTGATTGTAGAACAATTTTTACTTGACACGCAAAGTATATTTATTTTTTGTTGGGCTTTATGTGTTTTAGCCTTGAAAATTACATAACGTAAAAACAACAAAAATGTGTCGTGTTCGAGCAGTAGTTATTATCTGAATCAAGTCACGCATAAATTTGTTACGAGGAACAACATTTACTTGATACACTGTATTAGTTATCGCGTTAGTTTTCGTGTTTTTCAAAGACAGCCCCAAATCAAAAGTGCGCTTATTTCCATAAATTTTTGAATTCTAATTGGTTACCTGTGTCTGATATATATATTAATAGTCGAGTTGATTTTCTGACCTTTTACTTTGTTTTTTTTAAATATGAAAGTTCACAAAACAAAATAAATACAAGTTTTCTTTTTTATATACAAATATCAAATTGGCGGATACGTTATTAATATTAGAGATTGTATCTTTAAAAAAAATTTCTGTCAATGTCGTTTTATCTATCCACTTTTACAGAATAAGCCAATTAATATTTTTTACGTATTAAAGCTTACGAGTTTTTATCAGTAAGAAATTTTTTGAGCTGTCCATGTGATATGTCGCTGATCTTTTTGTATTGTATTTATGGCAATATGTATGAATATTAACAATATTAAGAGAGAATTAATCGTTGAACCACATGACAGCACCACAGAAACTTCAAGCCAAAAAAAAGAAGGAAAAGAAAACTCTTTAATATCAGGCAAGAGTACTATAATAAAATTCGTTCCATATACTATATGTTTGCAATACTCGTAAAACAAACAACAACGTGTCACTATAATAGAAACATCAGATCCATCACAAATTGAATTACAATACCAATAATAAGAAGAGGTAGTGGAAATAAATATAATATACCTATTATTATCATCGAATCAGATTGTATTACATGAGAAGAACAAAAATTTAATTATTTTCAATTGATTATAAATATTTCATTAAAAAATCGATTTCGTATTTGTCAAACACAACCTGGTTTTCCCAACAAATCATTCATTGAAAATAGATTAATTAAAGACGGTTTGTAACGTAACACAGCCCATATTATACTTGGATCAACAAACTATAAATGGTTTAATTAGTTTATCAAAGGAAGAAGTAAATATACTGTCATAAGAACCAAAACAGATGTATGTATGTATCATTTACCTCCTATATAGCAATACTCCAAAGCGTAAAATTTACGTTGAAGATTATGGTTATTTTTGTAATACAAACAAATATTACTCATATACTCATATAATTTATTTTTATATATAGTATACCATTTATTTATATTAATGTAAATTTCTCATACATATTCATGTATGCATATTAATATACCATCCTCCTTTGGCATTTATCCCAGTACGAGCTTCAAAAAATAAGAATCGCAATAGGTGTCATTTTCATAAACATATATACAATGAAAAAATTTCAGATAAAGCATTATTTGGTACACATCAATCACGTGTGCAATCTGCGTGTAGCACATTTTTGATTGCAGGCACTCTTTGCAACTTTAATAGAACTAGAAATCTAGTAGTTTATTGATTATATAACAGATAGAAAAAATATATATATATATAAAAAAAAATAAATAAATACAAAAAAAATTTAAAGTTAAAAAAAAAAATTACAAAAAAAATTATATCAACTCATAATCCTCCTCCTCTTCATCCTCCTCTTCATCTGAATCATCGTCATAATTTACAATCACCATGTCTGAGTCTAAGTGTAATAATAAATTAATTAATTAATTAATTAATTAATTAATTGAATACAAAGAATTATAAGAAATTAATTATATACCTTTGTCATCATCTGAATCTTCATCACTATTAATTATCTCTACTGATCCATTAATTTGATCACTACTTGTAGTAACATCAGTTGCCGGACCATTATTGGCCGTTAAATCATTCGTTGTTGATATTTCTAATTCATCTACTTTCTTATCAACTTGATCTTTTTCTACTGCTACTACTTTTGTAATATTATTAGCTACAACTTTAGCTGCTTTCTTACCTTTGGTTTTATCATTTTGATTTTTTATGGATGATAATAATAAAAGCCCATCTAAATGTTCAATTGTTCCCTAAACCAAAAAAAAATCATGAAATACAAATTAATAATGAGTAATGAGTAATTAACTGATTAATAAGTAATATTAATAATAATATTTACCTTTATTATTATTTTGTTTTCATTAGATACTTTACTATTATCCATTAAACTTTCTAATTTTCTATAATAATTTGTTAAATAAGTTTTTGTATTATTACTTTGAATAAAGTTTTGTGAGACTATTTTTAATAAATTGTTTAACCCTTTAAATAATTTATTATTATTATTATTATTATTATTATTGCTACTACTGCTATTACTATCATTGTTGTTGTTGTTGTTATTGTAATAGTTGTAATTTATTAATTTTTCTATGAAGGTATTCAAAACTTTTGATGTAATGATATTAAACAAATATAGTTCACCAATAAAGCAACATACTGAAATCAATTTATTTGATTTAATAAAACTTCCAGTACCGCCGCCACCTTTTCCTTTGTTATTACTAATATTAATATTACTATTCTTACTACTATTGCTACTCTTACCACCATTATTATTGAAACTTACTAATTTATAGAATGTATCTTTAACCCAATTCACTAAGTAATTTTTAATAAAAACATTTCCATCAATTAAAACTTTTCCCTTCTTCACCTTTACGTTTTTAAATTTTTCAATCAATCTCACTAATATAAGTGCGCATGATTGATAATATTCAATTAATTTATCCTCCGCTTGTTTTTCTTTCACTGTTTCAATTTCCACCTCCTTCTTCATACAAATTTCTTTATTAATTATATCAATTCCACCTTTTATAACATTCCTTGGTTGTTTTGTATAATTTGTATCACTTAACAATACAAAAATTTTATCTGTAATTGTTTCATAGTTGCTACTATTTACTTCTTTTAGTAAACGGATTATTACTGATTTTGCGTCATTAAATTTTCTCTTCTTAATATTATTAGAAGTTGTTGAAGTTGTTGAAGGTGTAGAAGGTGGAGGAGAAATTTGAATATTATTACTATTATTATTTTGATTTTTTTTACTCATTGTTTTAATAATATTTATTAGAAAAATTTTATGTGAGGTGAGAGGGGGAGAAAGTAAAATTTAATTAAGTAGAAATTAATTAGTTTTGTGAGTCGTATTTATATACATAATATTAATTATGATGTAATCAATGTAATTTTCCGTCGATTCTTTATTGAACGTAATCGTCTACTTTGATCGACAAAATTATTGTACAAATGGTATTTACATTTTTCTTTTTCTTTTTTCTTTTTTCTTTTTTGTTATATTTGATACAAATAGGTGTGATATTTAAAAGAGAATTGATGTATCACAGATTTTTAATATATACATTCATTGAAGTACAAGTCCTACGTAGATGAGATAGCCTGTGCCTCAACATCCAAAGCGACTCTTGTTGTTTATCCGTAGTAAGTATATTACACACATCTAAAGACCAAAATTTTGTTTGATTCAGTTACTCGCGGGATTTATGGAGCGAAAATTGAAGGCGTGACGTTGCCTTGCAGCTTTAGTTGGATTTCTAAAACTATCATCATTTTTGACCATGCGTTATGTTTTAAACTCTGGAAGCAAAATTACACGCATAATCATTTGCAAAGACAAGATTACAAATTTTCTTGTGGATCCAGAATGTGCGTTGATGGGGCTTACATTTTTTTGCTTTACCATAATCGGCTTATGTCCTGTTTTTCCCGTTCTATGACCTCATCACTTGGTTCTCACTCCTGAAATTGTGAGAAATGATGCCGATACCTCTATTTTATTCAAATTTAGGATTTTTGTTACCAGCCTTAATTCAAGTGGTTTAGTATGATTCACCAAGATGATTGATCGCTTAACTTCTCATCTTGATCTAATAATATTTTTGAGGATGAATAAATGTCCATTCCTCTTCCCCAATCTGTTTGCCTAACGACAATTGACTAATAATTTGAAAGATTTTTTTGCAGAATTATTCAAAAGGTCAGACAAAATATCAAGGATCCATTTAAGATTAAATGTTTCTGGAGATTTTATTTTTATTTTATTATATGTCTAGCAAATAGTACCATGCCATTTTAATATGGTCCGTTTTTGATTTTTAAAAGATAAAATCAAAGAAGCTATATCCTCATTTTTAGAAGTTACATCCATCTTTTAAAACTTCCATATGTCATTTGATAAAAGGGAATATATGATTTAAATCGAATTGTTAGTTAGTTGAATTAACTATAAACCCATGACCCGGAGAGCTAATCTTTTTAAAAGATCGTCTTATCCAGAATGGCTTTATTATTATGAAGCCCCCAACTCCATATTAATATGATTTTGAAAATTAAAGATCTTTTTAACCATAATTAGTAGTATTTGTTACACGAATATTTTATATTAATTTTGTACTTTGCTGCCTTTTTCTACATATGAACTTTCAGAATTTCTATATAGCGTGATAATTATTCTCCTGTGACGTATTGCGGCATCTTTCTGTTGTGTCTTTTTGACTCACAAAAAATTAAAAAATTAAAAATAAACCAATTATCAATCAAAATTGCCAGGTTCCTGTAGATGTACCACAAACGAATAAAAATAAAAAAAATGATGAGAAAATTAATTAAAAATTTTAATAAATCAATTTAATAAATAAACAAGCAAATAAAAGAATTAGTTTGGTAGATATGTCGAGAATATCAAATGATGAGAATTCAGCTAATGATTATCAGAATGAAAATATAATACATCAAGTTAGAAAACTTTCAAATGAAGAAAAAGTAGTTTTAAACATTGGAGGTGTTAAGGTAACCAATCAGTCATATAATTATATGTTTTTGTTCCATATTAAAGGTTCTCATTGCAAATTATCATTTTTATTTACAAGTATGAAACATATCGTTCAACACTTGAGGCGTATCCTGACACATTTCTTGGAAGAATGTTTCAATATAGTAATCAAGAGTTATTAAATCCAAAGAATGGTAATGAATATTTCTTTGACAGATCAGGCCAATTATTTCATTATATTATGCAATTTTATCGAACTGGAAAGGTTTATATAGATGATCAAGGTAAATAAATAAATAAGTTTCTTTTAATTATATATATATATGTAGTATATTTATTTACAGTAATATTAATATTACAATAGAAGCATCAATTTCAAAGGAAATAGAAATAGAATTAGACTATTTTCAAATACCTCATCGACCACCTCGACCTACAGCATCATTAATAGATCACATAGCAATAAAAAAAGTCGATGAATTGATCAATACACTTAAATATTTAATCAGTGAGGTTTCAGAACATTACATGAAAAAACTTTTATTCAAAGAATTCAAAGAGGATTTGACGATAATATTTTTAGATAATGGCCAAGCAACTGTTCACCCTGAATTGTATGAAAATTTTGGTAAAATATTCGAATCAACCAAACACTATGCGTATAAAATCATGAGTTTGTACAAGAAAGAAATAGAAGAACACATAATTAAAGAGTATGAGCCTAATTTGATTTGGTTAGATGAACATAAAGGTGATAGTTTATTATATTATAAGATTAAATTAACTATCACCTGGAAATTAAATTCTGAAAATATTTTAGCAAATAGTTTGTTAAAAAAATAATTATTATTATAAATAATAGAATAATATTATTATTATAAAATAATAGAATATAATATTATTATTTACACCAAAAACCTTTATTTATTATTATTACTTTAATAATAAGGAATTAAATTAGTAAAAAAAATAGAAGAAATAACAATAATATATAGAACATTAATAACATTAATAATTAATATAACGGTAATAATAACAATGATTATAATTATATAATAAATCTTTTTTTAATATATTAATAAAACGTAACGGTTTCAATCCTTGGTTCTGTACGTTCATTTTTCCCAGGATAATTTCTTTTTATCCAAATTTTTTGATACAAATCTAAATCTGTTCTTCTACCATCTGCATAACAAGTCTTTAATCGATTTTGCAATTCATCAGATCTCGGTCTTTGTTTCCTTCCTTTGCCAATTTTTGATGAAAAATCAATATCTGTATCTTTAGCAAGTTTATGAAATCTTTTTAATGCTTCTTTACATCCATCAAGATTTTCAACTGGTTCCCAACTACAAATATATATATACATATGTGTGTGTGTGTGTGTGTGAGTTTTATATTTTTTGTGTGTAAATATATATGTGTTAATACTTACGTGGCTTTTGTGTAGCCTTTCCATTGTATTAAATACATTTCTTTACCCTAATAAATAACAATAGATTTAATAGATTTAATAAATTTATAAATCTATAATATATGATAATGAAATAATTATTTGCACCTACATCAATAAGTTTTTTTGAATGGACAGCTTCAACTTCATATCGATCATTAGTAGCAGGTTCATGAATATTATCATCATCATTATCAAATTTCAACTCGTCATCAATAACACCGGTATTGTTACTTTTATTTTTATGTGAATGAAGCATTTTTCCTGATTCAGTCCTAGCAACATTCTTTTTGGGTTTTCTCCTTATTGTTATATCATCATTATCATCATTTTCATTGTCATCATCGTCATCGTAATCTTTTAAATCAATATCCATTTTATAATCGTCATTGTTATTATCATTGTCGTTATCATCATTACCATTATCATCATCATACATATATTTACTTTTATTACTTTTTACAATCCTTGCTTCTTCATCTGAATCATCAACATTCATTATTGTTCTCTTCCTACTAATAACATTACGAAATGGCGGCAAACTATTATTATTTCTATTGTTCTTGCTGCCATTGCTAATGTCTTCTCAGCGCCAATAACCAGTTAATTAATAAACAACAAATACATGGTTAAAAACTATTATATAAAATATAAGATTTAAATATTATATCTACCTTCGTCAAAATCCATATTTTTTTTGAGATTAAAAAACGCAATTCTTGAAAAACTAAAACAATAATTAATTGATTTAACGAAAGAATACAACTCAATCAAATCAGTGCAACATACTTTGTAACAATTTAGAAAAGATTGGCAATATTTTGGTAATATTTAGAAA